ACAATAATCCTTGCATTTGACATAGCGCCTTATCAGATCTTCGAGACGTCTCAAAGTGATTCACAGAATATACTGTAAAGTGAATTGACTGCATATTTTGTGGGCAAAACGCGGCAGCCAATTGCACACAGCAGTATTCCACAAACAGTTGTAGATTGAGTGACCAAATTATTATTTTATTTATCACTTTTTTTTAAAGATATAGCATCTGATCACATCGTCGTGATGTTTCAAAGTGCTTCACAGGATATACTGTGGATTTTCTATATATTTTGTGGGCAATTGCTGCAATTTGCCATTGTTTTTGTTGATGAGTCTTAGGCTGACCCATCAAAGAGCCGTTCAGACACTGACCTCAGCTTTTACTTTCACTAAAGTGCGAGGATTTGCACAGTGACAGAATCAAAAGTACCAGCCAGCTCAGTGACTGCAGAAACCGGCTTCTGGCAAAATCATTGGAGCGGAGTGTGGGGTGAGGGAGGAAGGGAGTTACCCTGCAGCAATTATTGCCTGAGACATCTCCAAAAGTGGAATTCTTCACAATACAATATGTGAAGTGCAATGTTTCACATAGTGCACTCCAACCCTCCCCCACTGCCCCCATCCATCTTCAGATAGCACCTGAAGACCTTACTCTTCGACCGTGCTAAGGTCACCTCCCCTTTCTCACTGGTTCAGCTATTCGCTTTTCTTAGCATCCTGTGAAGAATCATTTCTGCTGACAAATTCAGCTCTAAATTCAGTCATCCTGGCTTCCCACAGAGTGATTTCATTATGCAAACTATCTCTCTGAAAGTTCTATGTTTCGTTCTGAAGTATCACTTGTTAAGCATTGAAGTGTGAATGATTTTAAAGCCAGTTATGCAATGTGCACGGAGGATATGATATGCAATTTTACTGAAAATAAATTTTCCTTACACTTAAACACTCAAAACTTTCTTTCCCCGGGTTCATACAAGCTTGCAGAAGCCCCTAATTGAAAATAGGTCAAAGTCACACTTTCAAGAAGCACAAACAGAACATGTGCAATTACAAATAACAATCAGGCTCAGTATAATTTCCTAATTATATCTGTCAGCCACTGTTTAGATTTGTTCAATTGCATTCCAAAGTGGCCACAATTTGCGTTATCACTGGGTATCACAAACAATTGTTTCTGACCCAGAGAGACATTAAGCACCACTTTGATTAAAACACAGGCAAGCCGTAAAGAATCCTTACGGTTATCTAACAAAATCAGCAACAGTTATCATATGTATATTTCATGGAGACTACCAAACATCTCAAACTTCCTGAGACATGGGCCTAAGCTCAGTTTGGTGGTATCCTCCCCAGAATACTTAGAGAGACAAAGGAAGAAATAGATGATGGGAGAGGAAACAGATGAAGGACTGACAAGACATTTTGAAAGAGTCAAACATCACTTAGTTTTGACACAGTAGGCAATGTTATGCCCATATTCAAGGCAGATGGAAGAGATGGCAACTACAGACCCTGTGACTCTGTGCCTCAGTCCCTCCGCCCCCATTTTCAGATAGCACCTGAAGAACTTCCTCTTTGTGCTAAGGTTACCTCCCTTTTCTCCTTGGCTCAGAATCAATAAAGCAGATGTGCATGCAGACCATTTATAAGGAACAGGGTAGCAGTTCAGTGCATAACAGTACAAACGTAGGAGTGCAAACACACACTGCAATTGTGTGTGAGTGGGGGGGGGAAGGTAAGTGGAGTGTGTTGGGGAGGGTCGGGGGGAGAGGAGGGACAACTTTGATTCCTTCAATTCTCAGGCCAAGTGTCTCCCCACTGCTCCTCAGCTACATTCAAGCATGAGTAGCATTGGTAATGCTCTGGGACTAGCCTGTCATTGGGGAGCCTCAAATGTACCCAGCAGGTTACTAAAAGCTACATATAAAAATATATTTTTAAAACACAAAAAATAGATTAGATGCAACCACAGACAACAAATAATCCTCCACCACCCTCAGCTATCTAAAGGAGCTTATACTAAGGAAAATAATACAATTTATCTTGCAAAAAAATATTTTTCAGAACAGAACCACAATCACAACACAAAAGCAGGTTATTTGACTCTTCAAGCTTGAGTAATTGCTAATAAAATATCTCCACTGGAGCTTAGTGCTGTAATTCCAATTACCTGCTATTTGCCCTTCTTTCTTGCAGTCCTTCTTCACATTCGGTCCTGACCAAGAATGCTTTTCTTCACCACTTTGCCTGTCTGTGCCCCAACCTCACATCAAATGCCACTAAAATCTTTATTCACACCTTGTTACCTTCTCCCTAGACATTTCAAGACTCCTCGGCAGTCTGCCCAGTTCAACCAACCAAACTCCATCGAATCCAAAATTCCACATCCTCTCCTCCACCAAACTCCACAATATCATCACCCCAGTCCTTGCCAGGCTCCATTGGATCCGTCTTCCAAAGGGATCTTTTTCAATCTCCTCAACCATAAATCCCTTCACACTCTCGCCTTCCTGTCTCCTTGATCTTTTCTGAACCCACTCCTCTATCCAATCAGTGAACTCGGGTTGCCAAAGCGAAGCGCTTTGAGACGTCTCAAAGGCATGATAAGGGGCTATATTAAATGCAAGGATTATTATATCCCCCCTGCTCCATGCTCACAACAGCTACTTCGCCCTAACCACTGGAATTCTCTCTAACTTGCCTCTTCACAGTCTGTCTTTAAATCCCACTTTAAACAAAACCTCTTCTACCTTAATAAACCTTCCACATTTAACAACAACAACAAAATTACATTTGAATAGCTCCTTTCATGTAGGGAGGACATCCCAAGGTGCTGGACAGTAAGTGTTTCGGACGCGTAAGCGTAAGTGTTTCGGGATCGGGAAGGGTGGAGGGCAAGGGGGGAAAGCATGGTCGAAGAGGAAAGTCTTGAGATGGGTCTTGAAGGAGGCAAGGGAGGGGGCGAGGTGGAGGGACTCCGGGATCGAGTTCCAGAGGGTGGGGGCAGAGTGGCAGAAGACCTACCCGTCAATGGTGGGGCGGGCAAGGTGGGGGATGTGAAGCAGCCCAGAGCCCACGAAGCGGAGGGAGCGAACAGGTTGTTAGGGGGTTAAAAGGTTGCAGTGGTAGGGGGGAGCAAGGCCATGGAGGGCTTTAAGGGTGAGGACCAGGATCTTAAACTGTATCCTGTGTGATGGGAAGGCAGTGGAGTCGGCGAGGATGGGGGTGATGAGGTCACAGAGCCTGGTGCTGGAGAGGACATGAGCTGCAGAGTTCTGGATGATCTGCAGCCTATGGAGGGAGGAGTTGGGGAGGCCGACAAGTAGGGTGTTTGCATAGTCGAGCCTGGATGTTATGAAAGCATGTATGAGGGTTTCGACGGCCTGTGATGTGAAATAGTGGCAGAGCCGGGTGATGTTGTGGAGGTGGGGGAAGGCAGAGCGGGTCATGGCATGGACGTGCGGTAGAAAGGATAGTTGAGGGTTGAACAAGACCTCAAGGTTCTGGACTGGCTCCATGAGGTGGAGTGTGCAACCATGGATGGTGAATCCCCCAGAGGATTGATTTCAAGATCCTCATCCTCACCTACAAGGCCATTCACGGCCTTGCTCCCTCCTACCTCTCCAACCTACTATCCCCCTACCTACCTGCCCGTACCCTCCGTTCCTCTGGCTCCGGTCTGCTCCACGTCCCCCGCCCCAACCGCCCTACTATCGGTGGTCGGGCCTTCAGCCTCTCAGCCCCGAGGCTCTGGAACTCCATCCCCAGTGCCTTCGCCGCTTCCTCCCTTTCCTCCTTCAAGGCCGGTCTCAAAACCTTTCTCTTTGACCGTGCCTTCAGCTCCCCTCTCGGCTCTCTTCCTCCTCCTCGCTCCCTCCCTTCCCTCCCCTCACCCTGACCATTTCCCCCCTCCTCGCTCCCTCCCTTCCCTCCCCTCACCCTGACCATTTCCCCCCTGCTCGGGTCATGACCCAACTGTGCAGCGCCTTGGGACGTCCTCCTGACGTGAAAGGCGCTCTATAAATGGAATCTTGTTGTTGTTGTTGTTGTTGAAGCTGTCAGTGCCTGAGGTGAGGACACAGTTAATACAGTTTAACGTTCGGGGAAATGCCTCAAAATGCCCAGTGATATCAGAATTTTAAAACTGCCAATTAAAATTTAAGGCATTTCAAATGAAGTGTCCTGTGTAAGTGTAAGTTGTTGTGAATTAACAGTCTGACTGACAATGCTGTGGTTCCCTGGTAAGACTGTGGTCTCCAATGGGGGTGAGTGACAGTCTCTCTGGTGACAATCTCCTCACTGATTTAGTGGATGATACCGGGAAAGTGGATAATGGAATGACGGTTTCCCTGGTGCCGGGGGTGGGGGTGGGGGGGGGGGGGCGGTGAGTGACGGTCCTCTTGCTGACGAGGTGAGTGATGGTCGCCATGGTGACGGGGGGGGCGGTGAGTGACGGTCTCATTGGTGACGAGGGGAGTGACGGTCGCCATGGTGACGGGGAGGTGAGTTATGGTCCTCTTGCTGACAAGGTGAGTGATGGTCGCCATGGTGACGAGGGGAGTGACGGTCGCCATGGTGACGAGGGGAGTGACGGTCGCCATGGTGACGAGGGGAGTGACGGTCGCCATGGTGACGGGGAGGTGAGTTATAGTCCTCTTGCTGACAAGGTGAGTGATGGTCGCCATGGTGACGGGGGGGGGGGTGAGTGACGGTCCTCTTGCTGACGAGATGAGTGATGGTCGCCATGGTGACGAAGGGAGTGATGGTCGCCATGGTGACGGGGGGGCGTGCTGAGTGACGTTCCTCTTGCTGACGCGGTGCGTGATGGTCGCCATGGTGACGAGGGGAGTGATGGTCGCCATGGTGACGGGGGGGCGTGTTGAGTGACGTTCTCTTGCTGACGCGGTGCGTGATGGTCGCCATGGTGACGGGGGGGGCGTGTTGAGTGACGTTCCTCTTGCTGACGAGGTGCGTGATGGTCGCCATGGTGACGGGGCCGCTCACTCTCTTCTGGGAGCCGAGAGCTTGGCGGGGGCAGGAGCGGAGCGGAGGCTGACCCCATGGGGCCTGAGCTGGCGGCAGCGGGAGGCTGATGGAGGGGAAAGGGGCGCAGGGCCAGGCGGCGGCGAAGCCGAGTCCCGGGCAGGAGGACAGGATGCGGGGCCCCGGGCAGCAGAGCTGCAGCCGGCAGCAGGAGGAGGAGGAGGTGGCGGCGGGGGAGGGGCTGTGTGTCCGGCTGGCCGATGGCGAGGAGGAGGAGGCGGCGGCGGGGGCCAAGTGCGGCCCCGGGGCCCGGGCGCTGCTCGACCTGGACACCTTCAGGTTCCTGCTGGACGCGGACGGGCGGCTGGTGGGAGAGTCTCAGTTCAGGAAACTCATCTTCAGAGGAGGTCAGTGACCGCGAGAGGGAGAGGGAGACCCGGGGGGAGAGGGAGGGAGACCCGGGGGGAGAGACCCGGGGGGAGAGAGGGAGACCCGGGGGGAGAGAGGGAGACCCGGGGAGAGAGAGAGAGGGAGACCCGGGGGGAGGGTGACCCGGGGGGAGGGTGACCCGGGGGGAGAGAGACCCGGGGGAGGGTGACCCGGGGGGAGGGTGACCCGGGGGGAGGGTGACCCGGGGGGAGAGAGACCCGGGGGGAGGGTGACCCGGGGGGAGAGAGACCCGGGGGGAGAGAGACCCGGGGGGAGAGAGACCCGGGGGGAGGGGGAGGGTGACCCGGGGGGAGAGGGAGGGAGACCCGGGTGAGAAGGGGGGCTCGGTGGAAAAGGGGGAGGGGAGAGACCCGGGGCGAGGGGGGATGGGGAGAGACCCGGGGGAGAGGGGGGGGGAGAGAAGGTGGGGAGAGGGGGGGATGGGGAGAGACCCGGGGAGAGGGGGGATGGGGAGAGACCCGGGGCGAGGGGGATGGGGAGAGACCCGGGGGAGAGGGGGGGGAGAGAAGGTGGGGAGAGGGGGGGATGGGGAGAGACCCGGGGGAGAGGGGGGGGGAGAGAAGGTGGGGAGAGGGGGGATGGGGAGAGACCCGGGGAGAGGGGGGGATGGGAGAGACCCGGGGCGAGGGGGGGATGGGGAGAGACCCGGGGCGAGGGGGGATGGGGAGAGACCCGGGGAGAGGGGGGATGGGGAGAGACCCGGGGAGAGGGGGGGATGGGGAGAGACCCGGGGAGAGGGGGGGAGAGAAGGTGGGGAGAGGGGGGGATGGGGAGAGACCCGGGGGAGAGGGGGGGGGAGAGAAGGTGGGGAGAGGGGGGGATGGGGAGAGACCCGGGGAGAGGGGGGGATGGGGAGAGACCCGGGGCGAGGGGGGGATGGGGAGAGACCCGGGGCGAGGGGGGGATGGGGAGAGACCCGGGGAGAGGGGGGGATGGGGAGAGACCCGGGGAGAGGGGGGATGGGGAGAGACCCGGGGAGAGGGGGGATGGGGAGAGACCCGGGGAGAGGGGGGGATGGGGAGAGACCCGGGGAGAGGGGGGGATGGGGAGAGACCCGGGGAGAGGGCGGGATGGGGAGAGACCCGGGGAGAGGGGGGGATGGGGAGAGACCCGGGGAGAGGGGGGGATGGGGAGAGACCCGGGGAGAGGGGGGGATGGGGAGAGACCCGGGGAGAGGGGGGGATGGGGAGAGACCCGGGGAGAAAGAGAATCGAGAGGGAGAGTCCCGAGGCGGACAGACCGGGGAGAGGAAAAATTTCCATTCACGTTTTCAAGACTGAGGTGGGTAGATTTTTGTAAATTAAGGGTAACGAGGGACATGGGGCAAAGGCAGCTAAATGGAGTTGAGGTACAGATCAGCCCTGATCTAATAGAGTGGCAGAACAGGCTTGTGGGGGGTGGAGATACCCGGGGAACAGAGGGAGACCAGGGCTGGAGAGAAAGAGAGAGATGGGTTCAGAGAGAGAAAAGGGAGAGCATCGGGGTCAGTGAGAGAGACCCAGAGCCAAAGGGTGAGGATGTTACAATAACACTTACATTTGATATAGCGCTTTATCACGTCTTCGCAATGTCTCGAAGCGCTTCACGGAATATACTGTGGGTTCGACCCCCTGGGAGATGTGGGAGCCGATGCAGCCAAGAAAAGATCGAGATTTGGGCTTGGATAGCCTGGTGCAGGAGAGGATACGGGCTGCAGAGTTCTGGATAGTCTGCAACTGGTGCAGGGAAGAGCTGAGGAATCCGGCCACAGAGCATTGGAATAATCAAGTCTGGATGTGATAGAAGCATGAATGGTGGTCTCAGAAGATGTAGTGTCAGAGTCAGGCAATGTTACAGAGGGGAGCGGGGAGGAAAGAGAGAGCAAGTGAGAGCCTGGATGTAGAATTTGAAAGACAATTAATAATAATAATAAAGGGTCAAACAAAACAACAAGGTTCTGCACCAGCTTCGTGAGTATCCATGCATGAGTGAGGTGGAATGAGTATCCGTGCAGGGTCATGCGGTCAGCAGCTAACAGGAACCAAATCGGAGAGTCTTATCAACATTCAACTTGAGGAAGCTGGAACTCATCCAGGACTTGATATCTAACAGATATAAAGAATAACCACTTGGTCGATGAGCTGAAGGACTGCCAGCATTCATGGAACCATACTGTAGCATGAGTCGTTGCCTTCAGTTGATAAGGGAAAATAAAAGCTAAATTCTACATGTACACAAGCCCTAGAAGTTTTCAAAGCTACAGCCAAAATGTACTTAACTAAAATGTTTGCCATTTAAAATACCATTGAGAGCAAGGACATATGGTATGAAATATGTTGTATTCTTCAGTAATGAAAAACATCTTATTATTGGCAGTGGGCCTAGAATTCTGTGGCAGTTCTGAAGTTATTAATATTTCTAGATGAAAACTATTTCAGTACAAAAAAAGATTTCTTATAGTGTGGAAAATGATTTATTTCACTTTGTTTTATCGCAATAAGAGATTTCCAGCAAATGTGTGCTATTCTATTCTGTCTTGTGAAAATCATTTATTTTCATTGGATTACGGGATAAACTTCCACATGTATGCGAATGTCACACAAATCTACTTCTCTTCCTCCAGCTGTGACTCCCAGCTAGTCTGACAAGCATCAAGGTCTGGATGAGCACAAGCTTCCTGCAGCTGAATGTTAACCAAGACGGAAGCCAAACTCTTTGGCTCCCGTCAGTGTCTTCTCTCCTGCGGTTCAGACCTCCTCACCCTACCTAATCTCTCCCAGAGACTCACCGAACCCGTGAGCAACTTAGGCGTCACATTTGATCCCCTTCTATCTTTTCTACCCCACACCCAGTCTCTGGCCAGAACTCTCCACGTCCACCATATTGCCCGTCTCCGTTCATATCTCACTCCAAAAGCTGCTGAAACCCTCATCCATGCCTTCATCACCTTGCACCTCAACTACTCAAACACTCTCCTCGTCGGTCTCCCCGCTCCACTGTTCACAAAATTCAACTAATTCAAAACTCCGCTGCCGGCAGTCTCACCCACATTAAACTCCGTACCTCTATTATCCCAGTCCTTGTCAAACTCCATTTGCTCCCTGTCACAGAGTTGATTGATTTCAAGATCCTCAATCTTGTAATTAAATCCCTTCACTCCCTGACACCCACATATCTCTCCAAGCTAGTCTCTTCCTACACTACTACCAGTTGCCTCCGCTCAACTGGCTCTGGCCTCCTCCTTGTACCCCAGACCCTCCGTCCCCCTATCGGCAGCCATGCTTTCAGCCACAAAGCTGTGTAATTCTCCCTCAATCCCGTCATCTTGCCCCGGTTCCCCATTTTCAGGTTGCGCTTGGACCTTCCTCTTCGACAGTGCCTATAATCACCTTTGCCCTCCCCCGGCTCGGGATCGGGCTCTACCATTGTTAAGTGCACCGAGCTGCCGTCTGGCGTGAAGGCTGCTATATAAAATGCAAGTTGTTGTTGGATTTTAGTTCCACTGTTCCCAACATCAGTTAGTTGGAGTTGTCAGGCATGTAACAAGGCTTGAGGCTTCTAGAAAGGAGATTTTTTTCGTCTCTATTTGAAATATGCAGCCTGCTACTGGTTTCTGCCAGGCTGATTTTGGTGTAAGTTACATTGAATAAGTCATTATTTGTATGAAATTGTACCCGAACTAAGTGCACCTGTCAACCACTTTAACATAACCACTGGTGGAAGCTCTCACTTGACCAGATTACTTGCGCTTCACCAGTTTATCATTTTATCTATTCACAATGCATTTTAACAGTTTCATCCCAGTTTAATTACAAGCTTTGCCATTTATAATGACTGAAGCAATAACTTCATAGTGGAGTCCAAGAACCATAATATGCAATCAGTGCTGTAGTTTGGTTTCAAACGTGAGCGACACTAATTTGGGCAATAATATAGGAAAAAACAGCTGATCTAATTCATCCATATTTTCCTCTCAGTGAATTGTCCCACATTGTCAGAGATGTGGAAGAGCATACAAAATGGGCGAAAGCAAAAGGCCACCGATAATAAAGGCTACAAAGTCAATAATGGCTGTGTTACCTCTTCAATATAAAACTGGTGCTTTACAGACCTTGACAGCGATTTGTATTGCGAACACCAATGATTGCTTAGATTCTGGTAAGTGTTAGTATGCAATGTCGTAATTTATATAAATAATGTAAATCTAATCTAACCTAACATAATGTGTAATATGTTGTACAGTCTTAGTAAAGTAAATGCTTTTTAGAAAGTTCATTAAAAAAATGCATATTATTCTGTCTAGTCCAGACTCTAGCATTCATAATTGCTGTATTCATATCTACTCAGATAATTCATCCATATCCAAAATAATGTGACCATTTTCAGAAGAAACCATCAACCTGTAAGAGCAGAAGTATAAAATTGTAGACTGTCGCAAGATTGAAGGGGCAAAGTACAGTTGGGACAGAAGCCATAAAGAGAAAAGACACCTACATTCTAGGATCCAACCAAACAAATCTGAGGATATCTGAAGAAGCAACAACAACCAGGAGAAGATTTATCAGAAATCAACAACAACAACTTGCATTTATATAGCGACCTTCACGCCGGGTAGCATCCTGGAGCACTTGACAGAAGCAGGGTCTGACAACGAGCCATTCGGGAAGGCAATTCGGAGGTTGCTGTAAGCGCAATCAAAAAGGAAGGCATTTAGGCAGGATTTGAGAGTAGGGAGGGACTGAGGGAGAGGTTCCAGAGTTTCGGGGTATAGTGGCTGAAGGTATGGCCACCAGTGGTGGAGCAGAAGGCACGAAGGACAAACAGGAGGTTAGTGACAGGTACGGACAGAGGAGAGCAATGTGAGGGAGTTGGAAAAAAGCGGTCATGGTCAGGGAACGGATGTGGGGTAGAAAGGAAAACTGGGGATTGAACCTGACATCTAAGTTGCACGTGGGTTGAGAGAGAGCCCGGGGAGCTTGAGGAGTTCAGATCTGCGGGAGAGAAGACGTTGAAGGGAACCAAAGAGTATGGCTTCCGTCTTGCCAATGTTCAGCTAGGAAATGTGCGCTCATCCAGGCCTTGATGACCGTCAAACAAGCTGACAGGACATCAGTGGACTGGGAGTCGAAGCTGAAGGAGAAGTAGATTTGTGTGTCATCTGCGTACATGTTGAAGTTGACCCCATCTACGGATGACATCACTGAGAGGGACCATGTAGATAAGGAAAAGAATGGGGCCAAAGATGGAGCCTTGGGGAAACCTACAGGTGACTGGGCGGGCCGGGAGGAAAAAACATTTGCAATAATGTATTTTTGGCGGTTAGTTAAGTAGGACTCGAACCATGCGAGTGAACTCCCACTAATGGATAAGGGAGTAGAGGCGGTGGAGAAGGATGGCGAGATCAACTGTGTCGAACGCAGTGGAGAGGTCCAGGAGAACAAAGAAGCAAAGGAAGCCCTGGTCACAGAGCGAGACGTCATTTGTTATTATGACGAGCGCTGACTGTGCCGTGGGTAGGGCGAAAACCGGACTGGAGGGGTCTGAGTAGGAAGTGGAGGGAGAGGTGTGAGCAAAGTTGATTTGCAACGACACGTTCCAAAATTTGGCCAGGAAGGGCAGGTTTGAGATGGGTCTCAAGGTTGTGAGGTTGGAGGGATCGAGGCTAGGATTTTTAAGAAGAGGAGTAATGACAGGGGTTTTAAGGGGGAGTGGGACAGAGCCCGAGAAGAGGGACTGGTTGATTGTGTCAGCTAACAGTGGGCAGAGGTGGGGAGTTGAGTGGCCAGAAGCTGAGTGGGGAAGTGGGGGGGATCGAGGCAGTAGGTGGTGGGCTTTATCTGGGTGATGGTGAGGAAAGATGGGGGCAAATGAGTGTAGGGTCCGGGCCATGGAAGGAAGAGAAGGTGGTGAAGGAGGCATGGGGGTGTAGGCAACATGGGGAGGGGGGGAGGAAGTAGCAGCCAGGCGGATGTTATTTATCTTGGAAGTAAACAAGTCCAGGAACTCTTTGCACTTGGCATCTGAAGTGAGGATCGAAGGTGTTTGAGAGGGGTTGTGGAGGAGGTAGTGGTCAGTGGAGAACAGGATTTTGGGGGGTTTTGGACTCTCTCTGCACACCCTGAGCTTGCAGGGTGCTTCTTACCACTCCATTGATGGCACTTCTTTCTTAGCAGCTCAGTCAGAGCTCCTTAAACTCTGGTAGATAGTCTGACAAGATTGCAGGAACAGCACTGGATGGCATTTTGCTCATGGATTAATCTTGTGAAGCATAATTCTATTGAAATTTATTCACAGTTAAACTCAGTTCATTGTTAGAGAATGAGAGTCAAGTTGATTGTTTTTATAAAATAATGTAAACGCTATTTACACTTTTCCAATGTAAACTTGTTGAATACAAATATCGATCAACATCGTGTCAGTGTCCAGTCATTAATTCTGTTGCCATTTCAGAATTAAAACTATGTGCATTGATATAGCCTGTACTTTGATTCTGCACATGAGATACTATGCACTCCTCAGTGCCCTGATTTTTTCTATGAAGGAAAGAGGTAGATTTCATGAAGGGTAATTTCAGCTGGAGTTATTAGAAATTTCAAGCGTAGGTACATTCCATTAATTTTAGTCTACAAGTGTTACTGGGGAATTTTTGGAATTGTAAAACTATTTCCATTCTCCATGAAATGTGAAATTGCTGTGCAATTCCCCCACTAATATGTCTAGATCCAAATCTACTGAACAGGTAGTATTTTTCTGGTATCAATAGTTATTACATACCTGAGCTATTCTATTTTGTTTTTCGTGGAGTCCTGTAGCGCGAGCACTCAAGTGAGAGACCTGGGTTTGATTCCCGGCAGGGTGAAACAGTGGGCAAGTTTCCTTACTCCACATGCCACTGTTTACCTAGCAGCAAGTAAGCCTGTTTTTTTGTCGATTAGCGTATCGCTTTTCCTGGGGTAATAATTCCTTCAAAAAAATAATAAATTGGTCACTCAATCTACGACTGTTTGTGGGACACTGCTGTGCGCAATTGGCTACCGCATTTCACTCACAAAATATACAGTCAATTCACTTTACAGTATATTCTGTGTATATTCTTTGAGACGTCTCGAAGCCTTGATAAGGCGCTATATCAAATGCAAGGATTATTATTAGTTTAGAAAATTTGTTGCTGTGAACTTACAAAAAATGCAATTTTATTTTAAAATATTAAAATGTAATTTGCAATTTTATTTTCATTCATTATAACTGCACAACAATGAATGTTGAAAATTAACAAATTGAGTAGTTAGGACTCAGCCTATGCAAATCATTTGTCTGATTTAATAAAACATATTACATTGGTTTCTCTTATTATTCTCCCCTTTTGGAAGCACTAACTAATATCTACGATAGTTCCAATGAAGTACTGCAGCTGCTGTGTTACATTGTTGGAGGTACAGTCCTTCGGATGAGACGTTAAACCGAGGTCCCATCTGCCTGTCCCATCAGGTGAACGTCAAAGATCCTTTGGCACTGTTCAAAAAGAGAAGGGAGTTTCTCCTGACTAACCACTCTTTCCAGTAAACCCCAGTAAAATTTGACATGCATATAGCTGTTTGTGGCACAAATTGGCTACCCTGTTTGCACACAGTTACACCATTCTACAATATATTCTGTGAAGCAGTTTGGGATATCTAAATGTAAGGATTATTAGTTCAAACTTTTTACCTCGTTATCATTTCTCCTCATTAGCTGAGTGTCTGACATGTGTGGAAATCCATCACTATGCTTAGACAGATCAATCAGAGTTCCACATATAAATGCCACCTATAGAAATTTCCCTGTATCTCAAATATACACTCTCCTTGAAAAGATGCACCCTGCTTACCTAATTCTGGGGATGATTAGGTGCACCTTGGCAAAAGCCAAAGCTTGGGGTCTCCTTCGAATATTTTTGGAGTTCAACAAGCTAGAAGCTCATAGCTTGCAATCAAGAGCATTAGAATACTAGAATATTACAGCACATAATAATAATAATCCTTGCATTTGATGTAGCACTTTTCACGTCTTCTAGACATTTCAAAGTGCTTCACAGAATGGACTGTAAAGTGAATTGAATTGACTGTCTATTTGTGGGTGAAATACGGCAGCCAATTGCACACAGCAGTGTCCACATACAGTTGTGGACTGAAATGACCAATTTTTTTTTGAGGGATTATTATTAGGCGAGTGGAGAATCGAACCCAGGACTCTCGCTTGCAAACAAATGTTCTAACTACTAAGATACAGGACCCCACAGAAGAAGGCCATTCGGCCCATTGTGCCTGTGCCGGCTCTTTGGAAGAGCTACCCAATCAGTCCCACTCCCCCTCTCCTTCCCTGAACCCTGCAAATTTTTCATTTTCAAATATTAATCTAATTCCCATTTGAAAGTTATTATTGCATCTGTTTCCATTAGCCTTTCAGGCAGTGCATTCCAGACCATGACAACTCTGTGTGTGTGCGTGTTTAAAAAAAGTAAAACATTCTCATTTTTTTGCCAATTATCTTGAATTTATATCCCCTGGTTATCGAACCACCTACCAGTGGAAACAGTTTACACTGTTTTGAAACTCCTCATAATTTTGAACACTTCTATTAAATCTCCCCTTAACTTTCTCTGCTCTAAGGAGAATACTCCCAGCTTCTCTAGTCTCTCCAAATAACTAAAGTTCCTCATTCCTGGTATCATTCAGGTAAGTCTCCTCTATACCCTCTCCAAGGCCATGATATCCTTCCTAAAGTGAAGGGCCCAGAATTGGACACAATACTCCAGTTGAGGCCTAACCAGTGACTTATAAAGGTCCAGCAGAACTTCCTTGCTTTTGTACTCTATGCCTCTATAAAGCCAAGGATCCCATATTCTTTTTTTAACAGCTGTATCAACATATCCTGCCACCTTCAAAGACCTGTGTTTGTGAACCCCCAGGCTCTCTGCTCCAGAACCCTCTTTAAAACTACCATTTAGTGTCTATTGCCTGGCAAGCTTTCTGCTGCTTTTGCAGCTGTCAACCCTACACGGTAAGGCTTTGGTTTGCAAGGTTAACAAGCTGGGTGGGAAGAATGCTGGCTCCCAGTAACTGCCCCTCCAAGTCTTGCCAATAAGCCAAGCTGATTGGTCTGTCATCAGTAGTCCCTGGAGTACTGTGGACCCACCTGGCTTAGAACTGGACTACTGAGGCCACCACAGAGGGTTGAATTGAACACAGCATCTTGGAGACCATTCAACTCTATATTCATGGTCACTAGTCCAAGTAGGATACTCACTAGAAGAAAAGGAAACAATTTAATTTGAATTGACCAAGATTGTGGTGTGGTACCTAAAAGGTAGAGCAGGGAAATTGTTCAACTAAAGGTACCAACACTTGCCCTTCAAACACATAAGAACATAAGAATTTGCTAGGCAAAAAGACCAAGGTCCATCTGGTTCGCCTTCTACCATCCTGGCAGTCATTATACTGTATCCCAAGATATTATTTTTGGGATATATACTTTACCCTGAGATACATTTGGCCTTTGTTTTAGTTTGGGCAAGGGAAAATTAGCATGGATCTATTACAGTGGTAGAATGTGGGTTCGGTGATTCTCCACATAGCAAATATGCAGCCCTTTGTAGATTCCTGAGCAGAGCCAAAGTGCTTCTTCCATGCAGAAAATCTCCCTCAGGTTGCCATTGCACACGTTTGCTAGTCACTGTAAACTGACGTTGGTGTCACACTTGAGAGCAGGTCACTTGTCTTAACTGAGAAATGAGGCATAGCACTGGGAGGACTTAATGGATAGAAAATAACTTGTAAAACTTGACCAAAGAAAAGCAAATAATATAAAAATGCAATGTAAAATATATATTTGAGTGAGTCGTAGATGACTGTGTAATATCTATTGTAGTACTGTATCTGAATCATAAATGCTTTGAAACCAGAGATGAGAGAGTGACTGAAACAAATTTAGAGGATTATGATAAGGAGAGATGATTTCGTCCAATGTTGCCAGCTGTTCACACAGCTTACTCGTGACTTGGAGCGAATGAAAGCAGACTGTGTTTTCATAGTTCAGTCTTGCCGTACACCGTTAGTGTGACTGATCTTCCTTATAGTAGAATGAAAGGCAACCTTCGTGAGATATCCACATGACTACATTGACCCAGCAGTAACCATGCCAATTCCTATCCAAAAGGGTATACAATTACTGGTAAAAGGTGATGTCACAAAACGTTTAATGAGGTGAACATGACTGGGCGGATATCATGTGCTGTGTTTGATGTGTCAGATTAAGCCAGTGTCAGATGTGGAGATGTACCAGACTCACCACTCTCTTCTGGGAATCATGACGGTCCATGGTGTTTTTATTTTCAAGAGAGTGATGTTACAGAGGGGATTTAGTCAAGGGACTCACGGACTGAAAACTTGCCTCTTCTACTCACTTACATGTCTGTCTCAAATCACGGTCAATTCAGAATCAGTCAATCAAATCGTGAGAGAAGAGACATCCAAGAGGGTACCTAATAGAGGTGTTCAAAATCATGAAAGGGTTCTATAAATAGGCTGTTCCCACTGTTGTAGAATCTGTAATTAGAGAACACGAGTTTAAGATAGGGACTAACGGATCTAAACATCAACAACAACAAGATTACATTTGTATAGTGCTTTTCACGTCGGGAGGACGTCCCAAGGTGCTAAAAAGAGAATTTATAAGGAACGTCTTCGCACCAAGGAGAGTGAGAATGTGGGAATGTAGAACTCGCTACATGAAGCCGTGATCAGAAATATAAATGTATTTAAGAGGAAGCTAGATACACACGTGAGGAAGAAGGGAATAACGGGATATGGGAGAGTGGCTGGAGACTTGTGTGAAATATAAACATCAACATGGACTGGTTGGGCCAAATGACCTCTTTCTGGACTGTACAGTCAATGTAAATCCAAATTGTAGTCTGTTTTTAAGCTGAATAACGGAAAAAGGCAACAGTTCATTTGTAGTTAGAGATATATCTGCAACTATTGTAATGGATAGAGAGATGATTTGTTTTGATTTTTGAGTGGAATGATCATGTGGCAAGCAATTATTCACTTAGAATTGCATAGACTAACTCAAATCACATCATGTGTTGTGTAGCAATTGAATATGAAAATAGATCTTAAATCACCCCATTATTCTGCACAGAGAAACATTACTCAAATTATAACCCTTTAGACCTCATTAATATTAAAAAAATCTTTAAGTTGTATAAAATTTATAAACTCGGGATCAATGGCAATAAATCCTCTGGTAATACAGTCTGGACGATTGTGCCTGGTTGTTATTTTGAAGGAATTTGTAACATTGTTAGTTATATAAGTGCAACCATTGTTAAAAATTAAAAGCAATCTAAGAATCGTGTCACCTCAGAGTTAAGATTTTCAGACAACAATGGGATTTTGAATATATTCTCTGTCTGTATACATACACTTTACCCTTTTTGTTTAGGTGGTGTGGATCCCAGTATACGGAAAGATGCATGGAAATTTTTGTTCGGGATGTATCCCTGCACCTCCACAGCACGAGAACGCAAAGCGCTGGCGCTGGAGCTATTTGTCCGGTACAAGATGATGAAGTGCAGATGGCAATCCCTTATGCCAAGTGGTACAAGAATGAGAGTGGACGAGTCAGACAGTAAGTGCTACTATTCCGTACTTATTTCTATCAGTCAGAATAGAAAATGGAATCCTTTTTGACTTTTGCTTTTCCTGAAATTGTGGATTTTGTTTAAAAAAGGAAAAATCCAATTTTCCAAGAATTAGAATAACAAGTGAATATGAAGAAAATAATATCTCAGGGGTTGAATGTAATTGTTGGAATAGTCGATGATTCAGGAGATTTATGGTCATGTCTTATGGGAATCGTTTTTAAATTAAAGGCTTCGAGCGTGAAGTGACAATTAGCAACTCACTGTATTGTTTTTCTTCTCATCATGTTTCTCCACACAGTTTTCTTTCATACCCTCCTCTCCTGAGGTACTGAATAATGCTGTCATGCGGTTCCACAGTCCACTCTTGTAGCTCTTGCAAATGTTCAGAAAGTAGCTATTCAAAGCTTAGCCCAACTCTATCTTTGTACAGACATGTATCTCCGGTGGAGGTCAGATTGGTTTAGGAACGTTGGCTGATATTCCTCTCTAATCCAGATACACTACAGCCAATTTTGGTCTCTCCACTCACATTTCGGCTTAGATCAGCTACTCAGAACACTCTAATGTTCAAATCTGATAGCTACTGGTCTGATTTATATTTACATCAGACAGTACCTTTATCAAGTGCAGTAGAGAGCCCGATAATCGTACTAATTGGAACTGGCCTCACTGCGGATCTGAAAACAGTGGGGTGGTTAATGGATCTCTGTATGGTTCCGGGGCTGTGCTTATCTTTCTTTCTTCTTTCTCACTCCAGTATATACACAGTGTTGTATTTAGATCTCTCCACCTTGCGTTTCTTATTCACTCTATTAAAATCTTTCAAAAAAAGTCCAGGCCACAGGCCAACTTGACATGGCTGACACTTCCAGGGCATTGTGTAGCGTGCAGGAAGTCACATCATCAGTGCCCAGAAGTCAGCCATTTTTGCCACAGGTTGGAAGCTGGTTGGATTTCTGCTGAAATGCGCACTGACGCCATTAGAGGTCAAGACCAGCTCGCACGCCCTGATGAGGCTGGTTGAGATTTTATGGCCATCAGCTGCCATGTTCTAACAGGGTCTGCTGTGTATAATATGTTTAAGTATTGCCCTAGGATTTGCTTCTGCCTTGGGGGTGGGGGGAGTTAAATGCACTTTCCCTCCCAACTCTTCTCTTTGCCATCAGTATTATGTCGAATCCCAGATAGAGCCACCCCACAGATTTGTTTGGCTGGGCGGATGGGGTAAATTTAGAAATCACACTGAAGCAAAAACGTGCAGACAATCATAGCGAAAACAAAATATCAGAAAGATCCATGAGTGCATTTAGGTAAAATCCATAAAAATAATCCTATCCTTAAGGTATAGCGCCTTTTATGTCAGGAGGACATCTCAAAGCACTTCATAGGATTTACTGTAAAGTGTAATGACTGTGTTGTGTGGACGAACGAATAAAAAGGACAAATTCGACCAAGAAATGCTGAGTGAAAACCCAGAGAAAGATAGCAACATGCAGAATCATTTTAGGAAAAGTGAGTCAGGAAAAAAACAAATCAATAAGTTGGAAATGCTTTGCAAACTTTCTTCTGTAGGCACGAGTTCAACGGAATGGAACACAGAACAATGCAATATCAACTCTCTCAGGACTTTTTGATAAATGCTTTTACTAAATCATAATTTTGCCTACAAAATACAGTCACTTGTACAGTAAATTCTGTGATGCACTTTCAAACAACCTCCAAATGCAAGGATTGTTATTAATGCAGAACAACAACTTGCATTTATATACTGCTAAGAAAATAAAAAGTTCTTGTCCAATACCATTGCTATACTAGCAACACAGCAAGCATAGCAGCATAAAGATAAAACATAGCAGCATAAAGATAAAACAATTGGTTTAGATCAGGAGTGTGTAGTGATTTATTGTAGTGTCAACAGCATTTTGCAAAGTATATCTGAAAATATAGCTAGCTGATAGTTCCCTGATATATTTTAGAGTAGCTACCAGTTTGATCTATTTTTAGTGACACCCCAATGAGATCAATGTATATTAAAGGAAAGTTTGATTTCAATAGGGCTTTGATTTTACCACCGATCAAACTGCATTAAGGCTCAAGTGTCTTAGAAAACCACATGTCAACAGGAATTTGCTTTTATTTCAGCAGAGCTGAAGCTGAAACAGTGCTGAGCTGAACAGTGCTCCAATTTGGGGAGAAGCATTATGAATTAATTGCTTTAAGATCTGGACCAATTCAGTGTCATGGCTCATTTCCTTTATCATAGTGTTGCTGATGTCACCCCACTTAGTAGTACAAGGCAGACCTGCTGCATGCGGAGGTGACAAGACTCACCAGAGAGATGGTGTCCCAATGCCACCAAAGATAACTGCAACGACTGCTTCTGGAGGAGCAGACTGCCATTTTATCTTGGCTGTGAGTGGCCTGGGCACTCAGCCCACTTGTACGGCTTGATCACTGGTTTAAAGACATACAGAACATTGTTGAATGTTTGGCAATCAAAAGTGCAGCAGCTGTTGTGGAATTTATCCCACAAAGACGACGAAGAACTCAAATGTATTTCCAGACAGTGTACTGCTTTACAAACTAGAGGAGTTCTCACCGTCCTGGGAGGAAGTGAGATAGATTGTAGCTACACATGACAGGCTCCTGTGATCATATGATTTGGCATTGCAAGGCAAATGCAGTAAACTACTACTTGTGCTCCATTTTGATTCCAATCCAAACTAGCCTTTTAAAAATATAAGGCATTGATGGAAAGTGAAAGAGTTCCTAAAAATACCCCACGAGAATAATGTCTTAGACACTCCCCCCATACACACACACCCACACACACTTTGCAGCATAGCTGCAGTTCATCCATACTAATAACAGCTGGATAGAAACAACGACAAATTACATTTATATAGTTCCTTTCAGGTCGGAAAAACAGTAAAATGGGTCTTCTGGAAGGATGGGATCAAAGCAGCTTGTGATCTTGTAAAGAATGTAAATGAGAATCATGGAGGCATCAGCTCTTACAAAGGGGTCTAAAGTACTATGATCACTCAAAGTTCAGGGGAACCTCATTATAAAGCCTTTCAAAGAACACTGCCTCAGGTATAGAATGGGACTATCTTGCGCAAATCGGGAGCTCAGTATACCGGGCTTCCAACACAGAGTCAGCCCCCAGTATCCTATGCTACAAAAAAGTATGATTTCTGGATCTTCAGGTTGCCACTTTTCTCACCTCCTGAACATTACAACAACATTACATTTGTATAGTGCGATTCACATCTGGAGGACGTCCCAAGTCGCTGGACAGTCAGTGTTTCGGATCCAAACTGGGGGTCAGGATTGGGGAGAATGGAGGGCAGGGTGGCAAGCAGGGTGATTGAAAACACGGTTGAAGAAAAGGGTCTTGAAGGAGGCAAGGGAGGGGGCGAGGCAGTGGGACTGCAGGATGGAGTTCCAGGGGGTGGGGGCAGAGTGGCAGAATGCCTGCCCACCAACGGTGTGCCGGGTGAGGTGGAGGACGTGAAGCAGGCTAGAGCCTGCTGAACAGAGGGAGCGGGCAAGATGGTGGGTTAGGAGATCGCAGAGGTAGGGGTGAGCAAGGCCATAGAGGGCTTTGAAGGTGAGGACCAAGATCTTGAACTGTATCCTCTGAGTAATGGGAAGCAGTGGAGTTGGGCAAGGATGAGGGTGATAGGGTCACAGAGCCTGGTGCGCGAGAGGACACGGGCTGCAGAGTTCTGGATGATCTGCAGCCAATGGATGGAGGAGTTGGGGAGGCCAACAAGCAATGCGTTTGCATACTCAAGTCTCCATGTTATGAATGCGTGTATGAAGGTTTTGGTGTCTTGCGGTGTGAGACAGGGGGGAGCCGGGTGATGTTATTATAATAATAATAATAATAATCCTTGCACTTGATATAGCGCTTTTCACGTCTTCTAGACGTCCCAAAGCACTTCACAGAATATACTGTAAAGTGAATTGACTGTATATTTGTGGGCGAACGCGGCAGCCAATTGTGCACAGCAGTGTCCCACAAACAGTCGTAGATTGAAAATGACGAATTTATTATTGTTTTTTTTTAAAGGGATTATCATTAGGCGTGTGGAGTAAGGAAACTTGCCCAAGGTTTTGCCCTCTGCCTGGAATTGAACTCAGGTCTCTCACTTGCAAAGCGAGTGCTCTAACCACTGAGCTACAGGATTCCACCTGTTGTGGAGGTGGGGGAAGGCAGAGCAGGTCATGGCACGGATGTTGGGTAGAAAGGATAGTTGAGGGTCAAACAAGACCCCAAGGTTGCGGACTGGCTCAGTGAGGTGAAGTGTGCAACCATGGATGGTGATGCTGTCAGTGCCTGAGGTGAGGAGGCGCTGACGGGAGCCAATCAGGAGAGCCTCGGTCTTGTTGACATTCAACTGAAGAAAGTTGGCTCTCATCCAGGACTTGATGTCTGACAGACATTTTGTTAGGACAGCAATGGTTCTGGAGTCGAGGGTGGAGGCAGAAAGATAGAGTTGGGTGTCATCCACATACATGTGGAAGTTGACGCCATGTCTGCGGATTACATCACCAAGAGGCAGCATATAGATGTTGAAGAGGAGGGGACCACTATGTCCAGAAAGTGATGTCAACTGTGATCTGATAGAATTCGAACATTTTTTGCACTTGGTCTATATGGTGAGTTATTGAACCCACCCAACCATATTATAACAAGGTTTCCCTGTAGTGATCTTTTTTATTATACAGTGGTTCCTCGTTAGAATGCATTGTCTTAAAATTAGAACCAGCCATTTAAGAGTGAAATCAGGAAGCATTTTTTTCACTCGACGGGTGTTGGAAAACTGGAATTCTCTCCCCCAAAAGACCGTGGATGCTGGATCCATCCACATCTTCAAGAGTGAGGTTGATATATTTTTGGTAGGTCAGGGTATTAAGGGATATGGGGAGAAAGTGGGAAATTGGAATTGAAAGATTAGTTGAGGTACAAATCATCTGTGATCTAATTAAATGGCGGAACAGCCTCAAAGGTCTGAATGGCCCACTCCTCCTATGTTCCTAGAACGAGGTGTTTGGGGAAAGTTTGAAGGAAAGTGCTAATTCAGCCTCCCCAGTCAGCCTGAATGATTAGATCAAGATTGTCAATTCCGAAAACTGCCAAGTGTGAAAAAAAAGCTTTAGAACAAAGGCGATTGTGGGGATGTTTGTTTCTGGCTTTCCTGCCTTTGTTTACACTTTAGTATCTTTCAGAAATCACAGCTTTTCCCCTTTTGCGAATACAGCATTATAAATTAGACCCTAAAGACAGCTAACGAAAGAGGCTTTTGTTACTCCCAGCAATGTTTACACTGATATACTCATATGCCATGCTTTGATTGTCACAATTGCAGTAATGAAGTGGTGGGCAACCATCTGATCTATTAGAAAATTATACTTGAATTTTCTGAAGATTCTGTGAACTCTTTATTTCTTTTATCTGTGTTATCAGTGTTTTCCTTCTCTCCCCTTCCTATCCATCCTCTCCCAGAGGTTGATGGGTTGGCATGTGAGTTTTCTAACATCATTCCTGTTTGACACCATTCTCTGCAATATTGTCCACTTCACTCTTCATGCCTCCATTGCCTTCGTGACAACCTCAATCCAGCTAATACTGGTGATCTCTTCTTCGAGTTTCGTCAATCCAGACGTGCATTACCAATGTAGGTGCTCACTGTTCTTGATGTACATATGGTTAGTATACTCTATTAGAATCCAGCAAAAACACATAAACATTACTATTGCTGTGGTTCCTTTAGGAGCTCTGCAATACCTTTTTAATGTATTTTAACTGTTTTAGCACTATTTGTTCAACTGGATGTTCCTTAGTTTCAATCTTACTTGGGAAGTTACTTCTTGGACTAACTAGAGTTGTTTCACATTTTGCCCCTGCAGCAGAACTTTATGAAGCTGCCCTCGCTTATCAACAAACTGGAAACAGCTGTAATCTTAAAGGGCCAGATGTGGATCTATCTGATGAAAGGAATGAGCAGATGACCTTTATAGAACTGCAGGCAAAGGTAGTTTGCATGAACAGCAGGTCTATTTCTGGAGAATGTACATCAAAAAGTTGTTTCACAAACACTAAGGATACCATGAATTGTCGTTTACAGTTAAGAGGGTACATGTCTAATAAAGAATTTGTTGTACAGTTGATCCAACTTTATTGCGAATGAATTATAATGCTCAGCATCACAAGCGTAGTACAGAAATGTAACAGAATTTCCTAATTTTGTGCATGTATATATTTTTATTATTCTTTCCATTCAAGAGGGTGGCAGAAGATATTCTGTCAAGGCAGCTCTCTGCCCATTGCATAGTATTTTCTCCCTCCCTGTGTGAAATGTTAGTTTGATTTCTATCACATGTGATGGCATCCACAGAGGGGGTGTGGAGCACTCACATATTCAGGACTCTGCAGCCTATAGATGCTATAGCTTTTTTCTACGCTAAGTATTTCAGTGTTGAAATTGTATAGACAAATTTCTGAAAGTACATTGACATTGGTGAGTCCTATTGGCATCTCAGGTAAGGCTGCATTGGTTTTGAAATGCTGCAGTATCTTGCTTTTATGTTCTTATTTAAAAGAGTCTGTAAGAAAGTTGAATGATAAATTCATAGTATATCAGACTAGTGTCATAGTGAGACTGCAGCATTTCAAAAATCGTTGCTGCCTTGTCTGTGCCCACTTACTGGCAGTAATCTAGGACCCGTTCTGTTATTGGTACATTTTTGTCTATGATCCTAATCGCTTCACGCAGTGTCATATATCAACCAAAACCTCATAATGTACAATTTACTGGGAGAAGTTAAACTAAAAGCAATGGGACAACTGCTCTTCTAAGTCTCCTTGTGTGACACAAGCGCTCCGGGACGCTAACCCACACGAAGGGCACTATATGCAAGTTGTTGTTGTGGATACATCATTCCCAGATACAATGCAGATTCTATGCTCTTTTTTGGACCAAATTTTCTCCTCCCCTGAATTTGTTTGACTAATTTTTTATCTCCTGAAGTGGATCCATAAGAATCCTCTAGTACCTCATTAATGTGGTCTTTACTCATGTGATAGTAAGTGTTGAACTGTATGGCTGATTTCACAACTGAGTCCAATTCTGTCCTCACCTGACTCCATACATACACATTTGCTGGCAGGGATTAATGGATATCGATGTGGAACACAATCTTGGCCTATTTGGCCCTCCCTAGGTCAGGGGCACTGAGGCGAATTGCAGCATCCCTACCACTGTTCCAACTGATATCAGATAACTGAACACAGAATGGAATTGAAACTCGCAGCCTTCTGGTCTGTGTAGCTTCATTCTGGAGTGGGCAGTGCTTTACCCTCTAGGCCATGAGGAGTGTTTAGTGTTAAATGAATGCTAAATTCTGAAATGTTAGCAAGACCACATAATGTTGCATTTTGTGTAATTTTTCCAGGTTTACGTGGATCGTCACCAAATCAATGTGCATGACCTGCATGAAGCGATTAGGATCATAGACAAAGATGTGCCAAGAACAGAACGGGTCCTAGATTATTACCAGTAAGTGGGTACAGATAAGGCAGCAATAGTTTTGAAATGCTGCAGTCTCACTATGACACTGTGTCTGATATACAATAAATTTATCATCATCTTCCTCACGGCCTCTCTTAAATAAGAATAAAAAGGTAAAAACAAAACTCGTAATGTACAATTTAACAACAATAAGATTACGTTTGTAAAGCGCCTTTCACGTCGGGAGCACGTGAAATTTAGTGAGGGAAGTTAAACTAACAACAATGGGAAAAGGGTTCAGTTTCACAGCACAGAGTGAGGCCCATGGATTCCTCACCGACTCACAGAGCAAGGAGCAAGTTCAATCCCATCTCCCTGCCATATCTTCATTCCCTTTCAAGCCCCTCTGTTTCATATGCCTGCCTACTTCCTTCTTAAAAGCTACATTTACTTAGGATATCATTCTTACAGATTTAAAGTTTTTCTGCCAAGTGGTGAGACACCTCACAAAAGTTATTTCAACAATTATGCTGCGATCACAATTAGAATTGTGAAAGGTAGTGTATAATGGCCCTATTAACACCTGTTGACACCAGTCCATTCCACTGTATGCAACCTTGTTCAAAATTCCTTAGATTTGGATAGCGCCCTTGATGTCCCAAAGTGCTTTCCAGGATATACTGTAAAGTGCTGTGACTGTATGGAGTCCTGTAGCTCAGTGGTTAAAGCACTCGCCTTGCAAGCGAGACACCTGGGTTCAATTCCAGGCAGGGCGAAACCTTGTGCAAGTTTCCTTACTTCACACACCTAATAATAATCCCTCCAAAACAAAACAATAATAAATTGGTCATTTTCAATCCACGACTATTTGTGGGACACTGCTGTGCGCAATTGGCTGCCGCGTTTCGCCCACAAATATACAGTCAATTCACTTTATAGCATATTCTGTGAAGCGCTTTGAGACGTCTAGAAGACGTGAAAAGCGCTATATCAAATGCAAGGATTATTATTATTATTTTGTGGGCAAATGTGGCAACAATTTTGTACACTGCAGTGTCACACAAACAGCTATGAAGTGAATGACCAATGTTATTTTGTTTAGAATGTTGTCATTTCTATTTTGGTTTCCAGCCAGAATGTCCCAAAAGTTAACTGCCTTGTACAACAGATTATGCTGGTAACAACTTTCTCAGATCTACTCACATGGAGTCCTGTAGCTCAGTGGTTAGAGCACTCGCCTTGAAAGCGAGACACCTGGGTTCAATTCCAGGCAGAGGGCGAAACCTTGGGCAAGTTTCCTTAATAATAATAATCGCTTAATAATAATCCCTCCAAAACAAAACAATAATAAATTGGTCATTTTCAATCCACGACTGTTTGTGGGACATTGCTGTGCGCAATTGGCTGCCGCGTTTCGCCCACAAATATACAGTCAATTCACTTTATAGCATATTCTGTGAAGCGCTTTGAGACGTCTAGAAGACGTGAAAAGCGCTATATCAAATGCAAGGATTATTATTATTATTTTGTGGGCAAATGTGGCAACAATTTTGTACACTGCAGTGTCACACAAACAGCTATGAAGTGAATGACCAATGTTATTTTGTTTAGAATGTTGTCATTTCTATTTTGGTTTCCAGCCAGAATGTCCCAAAAGTTAACTGCCTTGTACAACAGATTATGCTGGTAACAACTTTCTCAGATCTACTCACATGGAGTCCTGTAGCTCAGTGGTTAGAGCACTCGCCTTGCAAGCGAGACACCTGGGTTCAATTCCAGGCAGAGGGCGAAACCTTGGGCAAGTTTCCTTACTCCACACGCCTAATAGTAATCCCTCCAAAACAAAACAATAATAAATTGGTCATTTTCAATCCACGACTGTTTGTGGGACACTGCTGTGTGCAATTGGCTGCTGCGTTTCGCCCACAAATATACAGTCAATTCACTTTACAGCATATTCTTGAAGCGCTTTGAGACGTCTAGAAGACGTGAAAAGCGCTATATCAAATGCAAGGATTATTATTATCATTATTATTACTCCCATCAATGCAGTATTCCCACAACTGGAGTGTTGTCTTAGATATGGAACTTGAACCCACAACTTTCTGACCCAGGGTAGCAATTAAGCCAAGCTGACACCAATTTGCAAGGCAAATTCAGAAAAGAGCTCCATTTCCTTTCAGAGCATATACAATAGGGAAATATTTTTTACACCTGCTTTAAAAAGCAAATCACTCTGTTTCACTGGGGTTCCTAGTGTAAAAATGGAACATAGCAATCCTTTCTTTGAAATAATTAATAATAGACTGAATTTCATACCTAGAATTGCTAAATTGGAAGTAATTTGATCCTTGTCAAAAATAATCTAGTCTCTGATTCATAAATCTCTTTTTACTCTTGATTTTTTTTATACTTTAATGCCATTGCCATTCATAAATTTGTGTAGTCCTGGAGCTCAGTGCTTAGAGCACTTGCCTTGCAAGCGAGAGACCTGGGTTCGATTCCTGGCAGGGTGAAATGTTGGACAAGTTTCCTTACTGCACACACCCCTGTTTACCTAACAATAAATAGGAACCTGGTTGTTAGTCGATTGGCAGACCGCTTCCCGCGGATAATAATTCCTTAAAAAAAATTGGTCACTGCAATCCACGACTGTTGGCTGCTGAGTTTTGCCCACAAAATATACAGTCAATTCACTTTATAGTATAATCTGTTGAAGTACTTTGAGATGTCTTGAAGACGTGCTAAGGCACTATATCAAATGCAAGTTTATTATTATTATAAATGATAATTTTCTATTACTAACGCAAACCACAAATGGAATTAAATATCAACTTTGCTCCATGAAGAGATTGGGCTTGGCATATAAGATCTCTCTAATCCTTTCAAAATCAATTCCAGTTGCTAATGTGTGCAGCCAAACATGTTCATTTTAATGTTTAATGAAATTGATGTGAGCTTTAACTGGTCAAGTAATTACAATTTAAACAAAAAAACTTCCGATGTGGCAGAATTATAAACATTCCAGTTCTAACTTAGTGAATTTTAGGGTACGGATTACTTTAAAATATAAAATATAAAATTACATTTGCAGAGCGCCTTTCAAGTCGGGAGGACGTCCCAAGGGGCTGATTAACATTAGCATTTCAGCGTATTCAGAATTTGGCAAATTCTTAAATACAGTCTTAATTTAAGACATTTTTCTGTAAGTTCTTTTAAGAACCAAATTGTCAAATTCTGGATGGTCTGAAATTCTAGTTTAATAGAGTGAATTTAGACCTAAGTGGAATGTTACCCCATTGCATTTTGCTCAGTTCAGAATGAATGTTAATAGTATTTTGTTTCATGTTCAATTACGTTTCTCGATTATTCCTTGTTTTCTTTTCTATAGAAATGAAGGTGTGACCAACCTAATGGTGTTAAGAGACATCCTTATCACTTTTGCTGCATTTCATCCAGGTACTGCAGTAATTCTAGCATTGAGTATCCTCCTCATTTGTCATTCACTCCTTAGTGTTGTTTCCACATTTGCAGGACTTTATTCGGGTCTGATTTCCTCAACCTCCCCGGGCTCTCCCTCAGACTTTCCGAACTCATGCACAACTTAGGTGTCAGGTTCGATCCCCAGCTTTCCTTTCTACCCCACATTTGTTCCCTGACCAGGAATGCTTTTTTCCACCTCCGCCACATTGCCCGCCTTTGTCCGTATCTCACAGAGGCAGCTGAAACCCTCATCCACGCCTTCATCATTTCCCGCTGGACTATTCCAATGCTCTCCTCGCTGGTCTCCCCAGCTCCACCATACACAAAATCTAATTAATTCAAAACTTTGCCACCCGATACTCACCCGCACAAAACTCCGTATCCACATCACACCAGTCCTTGCCAGGTTCCATTGGCTCCCAATCACTGAATGGATCGACTTCAAGATCCTCTCACTCGTTTCCAAATCACTTAATTCCCTCGCACCTCCCTATCTATCTGACCTGCTTAGCACCTGCTGCCTCCGGCCTCCTAATTGTCCCTTGTGTCCTTTGCTCCACCTTCGGTGGTCTTGCCTTCAGCCACTATACCCCGAAACTTTACAACTCTCTCCCTTGATCCTTCCGCCTTGCCCCCTCACTCCCCACCTTCAAATCCCGCCTAAAGACCTTCATTTTTGATTGTGCGTATGGTCACCTCCCCACTCCCTCTCCCACTGGCTCGTTGTCAGACTCCGCCACTGTGCTCTGACGCTATCCCGTGTGAAGGGCGCTATATTAAATGCAAGTTGTTGTTCATTAATATTGTGATAATACATCAACCAAAAAAAACATAATGTACAATAATTTGTTCATTAAAATTGTGATAATATGGAAAATATAAAGTTTACAAGGGATTAAAGGTGATTTAACCTTTATTTCACCACGATGATGAGGTGAAAGTTTCTTCACAAGATCGTAAAATTAGTTCAGATGATGAGGACCCTTCAGCCCATCTGATTTCATCCTTCCAGAACACCAACCATACCATTCTCCCATCAGCTGTTTTTTAAAGTGTAATGTCCTGGTCTCAACAACGCTTCCTGGCATTCCAGGCATTCCATGTTCCAGTCATTAATTATCCTCTGGGGAAAGGAAAATGTTGTGGTGTCTGTCCTGCAATAGCACTTTGCTAGTCCTATGTCTTCTTGTTATACTGTCTTGCTGCATCCTGACGAACTGTTCTGGATTTACTTTTTCAATCCCATTTAAAAATATTTTCTAGATGTTGGTTACGCTCAAGGAATGAATGACCTTGTCAGTCGTTTTTTGGAAGTTTTAGACTCTGAAGTTGATGCTTATTGGTGCTGTACCTTCTATTTTGAGAAAATTTCTAATGACTTCAAAGAAGAAGGACTGATCAGGAAAATTAGTAAGTATTCAATGGATAATGTTTCAAAAAAATTTGTGAGCACAAATTATATGGATATTTGTAGAAGATGTAGTCAAAGCACTGAAATATTCCATTGAGTGTTATTGAATCTTTATTACTCATGAGGAATATACCATACACCATTATAATTACAATATGTACAAGAATGACAATTTTAAGGATTTTTTTTTAAAATCACTGAACCCCATCTAGTGGCTGTTTTACCCAATGGCTTTGCTTTTCTGCCTTGTATATCATGCTTTATACAAAAGAATTATACTGCATTGCCGGCTCATCCGAATTTTCCTGTAGACAGAAATAAACTTAAAATATTTCGGGGCAAGAAAAACTTTCTAGTCTATAGAAAATATAACTTTGTTTAACATTTTGACTTACTTTATCTCTATTTTATCTTCTGTTTATTTGATTTATTTCTAAATTTTTTCTCTCGATCCTACCTCTGCAACCTTCCAGCCACTCCCGCTGCTCAACAGGCACTGGCCGGCCTGCTTAATACCTTATTTACCCCGCCATCAGTGGTTCGGCTTTTAGCCTATCTGCTCCCACTCTCTGGAGCTCCATCCTAGAGTCTTTAAGACTTGCCTCTTCCAGATCTTCCTCTTTGACCATGCATCTTGCCCGTCCCGCCTCCCCATCCCCGCCACCAGCCCCTGCCGACCAAGTGACACCTCCCCCCCACACCCTGCTGTAGAATAAAAGAAGCATAATTTAACATGACCTGTCTCCATAAGGTCTTTTTATAACTGAGCTAAGACTTGATTTGTTTACAATTCACTTTCACTGGTAGGTTTTTTGCCTCTCATTGACTATAAAGCACTTCATGTGTATCTAGGGCTGGAGGAGCAACTGCTGAAAGAGCTGGACACAGAGCTTCACACCCATCTCCTGCAGGACAATATGAATGGTCTGACCTTCTGTCACAGGTAATTAAAAAAAAGCAGCATTTCCCTTTAATAAATTGAGCAATGATTTTACAGTAATTAATAACCCAGTAATGTTAGTGCTGAGAGCAGAAAATCTATCTTTCAAGTACAGTAAAGAAAAGTCTTATCAATTACTTGTGAATTAAACAAGATGCTTAGAATGGATATTAAGATTGGAGTTTTATTTATCAGTGCCCAAATAACCACACTTTCTCTTCTAGTGCCTTAATGGATTAATTTATCCACTTTGTTTAGCAGTGGATAATTATTCATGAGGCCATTACAATCGATTTCTGATGAACCTTTACATTGGGTTTGTGTCTTGCATATCATGGTGAAATTGGTGTCATACAGTACGTACAAGCTATTTCCAACTTAATGATATACTGTATTTTACAAGTGAGAACTAAGAAAATGTTCCAATTTACCACTCAAGACACTTAGTTAGATCTCATTAAATGCTCAGCGATTTCCAGTGGCAGGTGAGTCAGTAATCAGGGCACATAGATTCAAGATAATTCGCAAAAGAACCAAAGGGGAGATGAGGAGATTTTTTTTGCACAGAGAGTTGTTATAGTTTGGAATGCACTGCCTGAAAGGGTGGTAGAAACAGATTCAATAAAAACTTTCAAAAAGGGAATTAGATAGGTACTTGAAAAGGAAACATTTGCAAACATATGGGGAAAGAGTGGGGGAGTAGGAATGAGTGGGTAGCTCTTAAAAAGAGCTGGCACAGGCATGAGAGGCCGAATGACCTTCTTCTGTGCTGTAATATTCTATGATTCTATATACTGTCTATTATACTATTATGTCCAATTAATCATCTGTGGATTATCTCTCCATCACAGTCAGCAATAGCAAATACAAGGAAGTGATTTCTGGGTTCAGAGAGTGAGCCACTATCACAATTGCATTCAACATCTAACCCACCTAATGGGATTACTCTTTTATATTCCCAGTGGATCGACTTTCAGATTCTTGTTGTGGCCTTAATTTAGAACGTTACTACAAATTGTTGGTTGTAGTAAAGGTGAGGGTCATATAGAAGCAAGCAGACCTTTTTAATTGGAAATATTATACGTAGTCCTTCTTATTGGCAGATGGTTGCTCCTGGGATTTCAGAGGGAGTTTGAGCACAGCGAGGCAATCCGCCTGTTTGAGATCCTCAGCAGCCATCATCTCGAGTTAAATTCACTGGAGGCAGAAAGGGCACGTGATTCAGAAAGAATGTCTCATATTCAAAAAGAGGGTGAGTGCTCGACGAAATTGATTGCAATGAATGTTTAGTGGAAATAGAAGATTGTGTGCGCTCAGGTAACAGAAAACACTGCTGTTTTAATGAAGCTAGTAGAATATGTTGCACGTCTTCAGTCCTTGCAGTGGTGTGAGACACTAGTTTCAAGTCGCTGTGTCAATTCTGGGTAGTAAGGAGTATGGCTAGTATGGTCGGGCCTTCAGCCTCTCAGCCCCCAGGCTCTGGAACTCCATCCCCCAGTGCCTTCGCCTTGCTTCCTCCCTTTCCTCCTTCAAGGCCGGCCTCAAAACCTTTCTCTTTGACCGTGCCTTCAGCTCCCCTCTCGACTCTCTTCCCCCTCCTCGCTCCCTCCCTTCCCTCCCCTCACCCTGACCATTTCCCCCTCCTCGCTCCCTCCCTTCCCTCCCCTGACCATTTCCCCCTCCTCGCTCCCTCCCTCCCCTCACCCTGACCATTTCCCCCCTGCTCGGGTCATGACCCAACTGTGCAGCGCCTTGGGACGTCCTCCTGACGTGAAAGGCGCTTTATAAATGGAATCTTGTTGTTGTTGTTGTTGTATGTTCTGATGCAGGTGCCATAAATAATTAAATTTATTTCTTCTCGAAAAGATACACCCCAAACCCCAATGGCCAAGACCAGCAAACTCTGTACATACTAGGATTTGGTGGTCCTTGTGGTCCATAAACTGTCCATTACGCCATTGGGCTGTCCCAGTACTCTGCTCTCAGCCAGTGCAGCAATTGGACCGAGTCCAGCTGAGACAGGGTGGGGACAGTCAGCCAGCGTTCCTATCTCTGATTGATATCAAGGGACGAAGCTAGAAAATGTGTGGGAGAACTTTACAGGAGGGCTGAATCAAGCTTGGCTGTGATTCCCTCACACACATACACACACACACAGTCAAGGTTCACACAATAATCATGGCCACATTGGTGGCCGGAGGAGATGTTGAAAACTTAAAACTTAAAGATGTTGTAAACTTCCTCAGTAAAAGGAAACAATGGGTCACATATCCTCAGGAGAAGGAAAGAAAGACTGGTAAAAAAAGTAATACTCAACATAGTAACTAAAAACAACAACTTTCATTGTTATATCACCCTTCACGAGGGGTAGCGTCCCAGAGCGTTTGAACAGATATCACTTGTAACTGCTTGCCTTGCATTCGCAGTATCTTAGTATTTTATTTTCGTCAACAAGAACCTGAAATTAAAAATGTGCAATTTGAGTAGCAAAAATTTCCAACATTGTTTTTGTGTTACCACACTTCTATTTAAAGAACATAATCATTTAGAAAAAAAATCCAAACCCCCTCAAGTGGTCTTATTATTGTTTTTTTCACTTTTTTTTGTCTTTGAAATTGCAGAAGGCAAGATTAGGCCTGAATTACCCTCTGCTAATACTGACTACACCTTTGAACTGTTCATCTGTGCTGCAATCCTGCTGGAGAAAAGACAGGCACTGCTGAACTGCATGGATGAAGTGGAACTCATCCAATATACCAACAGGTAACTCACAAGGATGCTCCTCTTTTTTCTTCAGACTTAATCTATACCTCCTATTGGCACCTGTAAAATTATTCCCAGGGAAAGGATAAATAAGTTAGTTGCGTTTAGCACAAAGGGAAAAGAGAACATTGCCAGGGACAAAAAAAAATTCTGACAACCAAGTTCAGGAGAATCCTGGTCCATTGGGCCTGTTTTCACCTCTAACGTGGACTAGAACCACATTTTTATGGCATCTAATCACATTGAAACATCTCAAAGCGCTTTACGTTAATTACTGAACTGTTTTTAAAGGCAAATTTCATGCACAGCAAGTTCCCACGAACGGCCATAGAAATGGCTGATTAATCTGGAAAGTTGTTGAACAGGACACTAGGTTGTCACAGGATCTTTAACATCCACCTGAGAAATAGGTCCTGGGAATTCAGTTTAATGCCTTACTCGAACAATGGTGGAGTCCTGTAGCTCAGTGGTTAGAGCACTCGCTTTGCAAGCGAGAGACCTGAGTTCAATTCCAGGCAGAGGGCGAAACCTTGGGCAAGTTTCCTTACTCCACACAGAGCCTAATAATAATCCCTCCAAAACCAAAAACAATAATAAATTGGTCATTTTCAATCTACGACTGTTTGTGGGACATTGTTGTGCGCAATTGGCTGCCGCGTTCGCCCACAAATATACAGTCAATTCACTTTACAGTGTATTCTGTGAAGCGCTTTGGGACGTCCTCCCGACATGAAAAGCGCTATATCAAATGCAAGGATTATTATTATTATTATTATTATTGCTGTGCGCAATTGGCTGCCGCGTTCACCCACAAATATACAGTCAATTCACTTTACAGTGTGTTCTGTGAAACGCTTTGGGACGTCCTCCCAACGTGAAAAGCGCTATATCAAATGCAAGGATTAATATTATTATTATTATTACTCCCATCAATGCAGTATTCCCACAACTGGAGTGTTGTCTTAGATATGGAACTTGAACCCACAACTTTCTGACCCAGGGTAGCAATTAAGCCAAGCTGACACCAGGTTGCCAAACAATAATCCTAATATTTTTGCATTTGCATTTGTTATAACGCTTTTCAAGTCAGTAGGACATCTCAAAGCATTTCACAGGATATAAAGTACAATGACTATATTTTGTAGGTGAATGTGACAGCAAGTATGTCCATAATAATGCCCCACAAAAACCTACAAATTGAATGTCCAATTCTGTCTGCAGGATTGTTGACTAGGACATTGGGAGAAGCTCCTCTTTCTGAAATTAAATGATGTCTTGGTTTATGAAATCACAGTGTGTTGTTACACACCATTTCTCTACTTTTAGTTTACAGGGAAAACTGGATTTAAACAGTGTTCTTCAAAGAGCAGAGGAAGTGTTCTTCAGTTACTGCAACAAGTCCGTGTTAGACTGTTTCAAGAAAAGCAGCATGGAACAGAAAAAAAGGGGCTTATTTAGTTTTAAGTTGATGAATCTGTTTTCCTGACAGAACTATAGCAATCGCAGTTCAACTCAGATCAAGCCAGCGAGAATATATTTATCATAAATATCTGAGGGGCTTGAGCAAATCACATAATTCACACACGAACCCCCAAACTGCAGCATTTCTTTGATGTTTACATTGTATTTTTGAGTCCAATCGGTTGTTGACTGATTGCAAATAGTACTTTCCACTTCTAGAGCACATTAAGCTTTTTATTATTCAAGCAAAGTCTGAATTTAAAAGCATTCTTCAATTACAAAATAGCTCTTTGCAACATACCTTCTCAAATATCAAATATTGAACAATAAAAGTATTTGAGTCCATCAGATCTATTTATATGCAAAGTACCAGATTTTATCGAACATTGTCATAGGCATTATGTGTAGATAGATCTGGATAGAAATTACGTATTTTTTGGTTTATCTTATAAATTAATTCAGTGGAAGTTAGTTAGCTGCTCTGTTATGTGGAGAAGTCTCTTTTTTTAAAAAAAGATTAAATGTTAACTGTAATTTTTATACATCTTCAAATATTTACATCCTGGTGCTGGCCATTTAATAACTCAGTGTCATTTTCATACCAAATGTGATTATTTTCAGCAAGACAGCTTTGCAAAAAACAGAATGTTTATGCATGGGTTATTTAAATGGTCCTTTTAACCTATTTTAAAGTGGAGTATTTTGAGAGCAACAGAAAGGCGTCACAGTTTATTAAAGGACTTGTTATATATACAAATTACTTTAAGTACTACTTTAGAACAAAATACCCATGAAAGTCCTCTTTGTACTACAGTGACACCGAATCAGTATTAAAAGCTCATTAGAAATCAAGCTGGAAGCAAATCACACTGGAGACCCATTACCTGGCAGAAGCAACTTGAGAAAAGTGATCTGTGTCCCTGCAGATGATTCAACGCAAGTTTGATTTCAAACCCATAACCTTTAAAACTTGCACCACCCTCAACCGTCTTGTTGTTATCAAAATACTGGTCATGCAACTAACCAGGTCTTTCATAACATTCAAGAGTTACCTAGAGTTCAGCGCCATTTAGCAGAGCTTTTCTCAGTTCCCACTGAGAGCAATTTAGGAACAGGAAATATAAGTGCTGTTTGCTTTTCAAATACCTTTCAGCAGTATAAATGAGGCGTTAAAATGTTTAATTGCAAACACAACCTCCACTGGTGATCTAATGTTTTTTGAGTCGATTCTAACGTGCTACCTTCTGCACACTGAGACATTTCACAATGGATTGCACAATTCCAGGAAACTTACACGAGAATAAAGTAAATCTGGTTAGAAAGTAGCATTCACTGCTGATCTGAAGTATCTGTAGAGACCCTGCCCACAACCATAAAATGGAAAACAGGCTTTAACATTTGTCTGTTTCATCTGCTCGCCCAGATTGGTAACTTAAGACTGCCAGAGGTTTTTTTGCATTGATTTTTAGCAAAAACTCTTTAAAATCCAATTCGGTTTGTTGTGGTTTCAACTACTCAATAGGCTGAGGAGAAGAACACAGTGATCTTTCCAATTCTCATTCCAAGATTTTTCTAAAACCACTTTTAACAAATATCCCAAGGGGACGGATAGCATCACAAGTCCAATTGTTCCTGATCAAGCCTTTTTCTTGCAGCATCTCCTCCCTCATTTTGTCTTTTGAGCGTGAGACTACACTGCCAGAGATTCTAATTTCTCATTGTTGCATAAGTTTAATTTTTTGACTGATCAACAAAAGGAGTTTTTTTTCTACATATATAATATACTTAGTATTTAAAATTGCTTTTCACTTCACATCAAATGCAGGTTTGTCCATTCCCCCTTAAATTAATCAACAGAGGGCGATTCAAACACTGTAAAAAGAGATGACAGAAAATAGGAAGCAAATAATTTAAATAAAATTCATTGTTATCAGTTCTGATTGTATCATTCCTAAGATTGTAAAATAGTCCATGGATTCCTCTCTGCCCTTCCTTGTAGCCTGTGAGGGTACGGCATTGAAGTAGAGAAGACAATATCACTTGTTTTAGGATTGGTCACTTTAAAATGTTTTTTGCCTTTACCCTCAGACTGGGGTCCTGTTGCACTACACACCATCCTCAGCAAGGGGGTGGTGGGGGGAATAGTGTCCTCCACAGTTTGCCAATAAACTTGTTGCTATGAAATTCATGTGAACGACTGAGACCACCTCTCCCTGTAAAGTGCAGTGCTGCCCTCCACTACAGCAGCTTGGCTCAGAATTGTTGATTAAATTACCCTGCACCCTTTCACTCAATGGAGCAGCATATGCAACACAAATGCTGCACCACTGCCAGTCTAAAACGTTAAAGTCAATGGGTTCGCACAAGCCTAGCTGTGCTGTAAACATTTCACTTTGATATATTTTTCCAAGAAATGTGTTCATATATCTTTATTATTGTTGGATAATGTTGATTAAAAAGTGAATTACTCAAACTACCTTGAATTGGTGTTTGCTTACATGGATGGACATGACACTACATATATGCAAGTTGTTATTGGAAAATTTTGAAGCAGCACATTTTCCCAGGAGCACAGTTCTGTATCACTTCTGATCCCTTGTCAATGTTGCACTGTTTTATGAACAAGAGATCCCAGGTTCATGATTGTGAAGGCCAGATTTTGAACATAAGAAATATCTCTTTACACAGGCTATTTAAGTGTTAATAGAAGGGTGGATCAAGCCAAAGGCACTGGACTTAATAATAATCTCACTCCTCAATTGGAAGATGGTGAGGTCAGTATTCTGCAAGAAATGAGATCAAATGGGCTCAACCAGTTTTTTAATCAGTAAAATTCACTTAACTTCATAAGAGTGAGAAGTTCAGATTCTTTCTCATTAACACGTCGGAACAATTATTGTGGAGGATGATGTACATAGAATTGCCTGTCACAAGACAACTTTTTCTCCTGAGGAGCTTTTACTAGTACTTGCACTATTCAACTGCTGAAGGTCAGGTATATAACTGGGTCAGTCAGTCCGTTAGGGTCTTTTCAGCCAGATAGAACCAAATACTCTACCCTTCTTCATCATCCAGCACATTCCTTTTAAGTTCCTCGGACCAAAGAGAAAGAGCGTTAGGGTTAATTTACTTTCTTTTTAAAGTAACATTTTGGTAGAAATTGGGAGAGACAATCTCACATTGAAAGTCTGCAACAGCAAAACCATCCAGCTTCATTGTACTGTTGAATATAAAATATTGAATGTAAACCATGGGTTTTATGCACATCTTGTGCATAAAACCCTCAATCGTTTGAACAGGACAGGTTTCAAATAAATACAGCTGTACCATTACATTTCTGAATCTAATATAATAACTGGTCAGAGAGCACCATAAAACCTGTTGTTTTGTATCTTTATTTTAAGAAAGGTTAGGTTCATATACATATATTACATAGAAAGGAAACCATTTAGTCAAAATCGTAGGAAAGATGTAAAAAGCAGCATAAATAAAATAAGTTAGGTCACATTTATTCAGACAGCAAGCCCGTAAAGTTTTGTGTAAAGCTCCCGGTCTTTTCTTTGGGGTTTCTTGACCTTAGTGCAGCCATATTCTTCCAGTTGTAATGGAATGTATTTTTCCAGGTGTCCCAGCCCCTGCCCTGCAGTGCTGCTGTGTAGCCGAGTCCAGGAGTGTTTGGATTCGCCCTTGTATCCAAAGAAGGCGATGCTTTCTGTAAAACCAAAGAGCTCATAGTTACATGAGCAGGTGGCAAATACACCTGGACCCAGTTAGCTGATACGCTCCCTGGAAAAAAATACTGCAAGTTTAAAAGGTGAGCCACAGTTATGCACTTTGAGATCTTTCCAATCCTAGGAAAGGAAATCCTATGCTCTTATTTTTAAATAATTTGTGGGAGGAAAGAAAGAAATCAGCTGGGTTCCGTCCTGCTCAGTTACCACCATTTGAGTGGGTTTTACTTAAGGTGCTTTGTCGTATAGTTGGAGGATCCAGTGAAATGTGCCAGCATTGTGGCTCGGGCATGAGCGGTAGCCGTGTAGAAAGCAAGAGAACTGCAGCACGTCATTACACAAGCAAACTACTCCACATAGGCTATAGTTTCACCAGGGTCAAATTAACTCTCGAGGACAAACTCTCATTTAGGAATGCCGGTACTCATGGAATTTTGTCTGTATTAAGATATGTTTGTTAAGGTGTTTTTTATGATTGTTTTTAATGAACTAGAGACAAATATAAGCTCCAATGTCCCCCCCAGCTTTGATTTTAAGTAACTTCTCATCCACTAACACACAACAATGGCTCTTGTCCTTTTCAGCACTGACTGTCCTTGTATGTAAAATGTTTGGTGGATTTGTTATCCCGTTGTTAGCTACAAATAAGCAAATAATAGCTTTCTAATGCTGAATATTTAACAAAGATTAGAGGCAATTTACTAAACCACTTAATTCAGCCTCATTTATAATGCAGTAAATTCTTATTGCAGTTGATTTCAGGAGATCAAAAGAGGACACAATGTTCCTGGCACTTTTTCCATGATTGCCATTGCGTTTGGTTAAGGCTTGGGATTGCATTCCTCCTGTGTGAGAAACTATCAACACTTCCACAGCTGTGACCTGAATGGGTCAAGCTTTTGCTTAAGTATTGCCACTAGGATTTCAGCAAGCCATGTTAGTGACATCTTCACTCCACAGAATATCCATGTGTACTGTGGAAAATGTCCCATCAATGCAATTGTACATTTTGCCCAACCTTCCAATCTGAAGAGCCCAAAGTATCTTAATCCCTTTAAAACAAATTGAAGTAATCTGATGCAATGATTTTGAAGCAACCCTCTCAAATTCTTTTAGAGCAATACAAAGCATATTGACTCAAGTGTGATTTTGTTGCTACGTGGTATTAGCACCGAAACTAAATGGATCTGAGTGACCTGACATGCTCAAAGAATAGTCTTTCCTGGTCCAGGGTCTCAATCATAACTGGTGCTCGCAATTTTCAGTTTCACTGTTATTCTCCAATTCATTCTTCAGAGAGAGACTAAACATTCAATCACACACATACACTGTAGGACACTATGTCAGACACGGAGAACATCTTCATGTTCTTTTACTGTCATCCAGGTTACAAGCCAGAGAATTTCTACATATCCCACTGCAATCCCATCTCTTTGAAGTGGCCCAATATTGGGCAAGTCATACAGCCACAGTGAGCAATGTCAACATCAGTGCCTCCCTGTTATTCTGAGATGACAGAGTGAGGCAACTCCATCTTGAAGGCCTGTCAGTAGCATGAGCCGACATCCATCAGCGTAACTTCACATATCCCATTGCGAAGGCACACCTGGGTGACCAGCAAATGAGCAGTGTCCTCACAAGCATGAGGAGATGAGTAAGATCTTCAGTCCCAGTGACTAGGAACACTCCACCGCCACTGGCTCAGTCCACAGGGAGGTGGGAGCAGTAACCAGAGAACATCATACTGACCAGTAGGAACTCCTCTCTGAGGAGAGTTTCCACAGGTCAATTATCATTGAAGGTCATTATTAAAATATACCACAAATAGTGTCCCAGATTATGGCCAAATAAGGCATTCATGAATTTTGAAATCAGACGGAAAAGATTAGACAAGCAATAGATAGAGAGAGAGAGAGGTTTTAGAGAGAGATAAGAACAACAACTTGCATTTATATAGCACCCTTCATGCTATATAACGTCCACGTCTCGGAGCACTTGACGCTGAGCCGGGGGGAGGGAGGAGGTTACCGTAAGCACGGTCGAAGAGGAAGGTGTGATCTGAAGACGGGGAAAGAGAGGGCAAGGCAGAGGGATTGAGGGAGAGAGTTCCATAGTTTCGGGGTGTAGTGGCTGAAAGCACGAAAGCTGATGGTAGGTGGGGTGGAGGGGACGAGGGACGAGCAGGAGGCCTTAATCAGCCAAGCAAAAGAGGCAGGAAGAGGAAAGAGAGAGACACAAAGAGATAGAGGTGGATAGAATTCTGCTCAATGTATTAAAAATTTCTATAATACATTGAGCAGAATAATATAACAATCTGTGGAGTAACAAAACTTACCCAACGAATGCTCTAACCACTAACAGGACTCCACAATTTGATTTCAGAATACAGAATTTGACTGCAGGCAAAATAGGAGATTAATGGCAAACCTTTCTTATGAAGCTGTGCAGGTTTGGCTGTACCCAGAGGTACTAATGCTTCAGAAATGCTGTCAATGTCACCGCTGAGTGTGCCTCTGGAGCACATTAAAACAATGGATCTGAAAAACAGAGAGAATTCATAATTACAGACATTGAGCCGCCGATTACCTCACCACAATGATATCCTGCGGGAATAACCCTTATTCATCTCATCTGTTTGAACAGAAATGAAGAACATTTATAAGGAACGAGAGGAACATTAAAAACTCACTGTAGTAACAAACAATTCAATTCTCTGTCTAGGAGGTTTCCAGTTTACCTACCCCCACCCCCCCCGATAATCCCTCTTTTCCACATTGTTAGTGACCACTTATCTCCCACAAAGGAAATCGGGGAGAAAGAGTAAGAAAGCATTTTTTAAAAAATATGGTCCACAGCTGGACACAAAACCACTACTTTTTTTCCTCTTGGGGAATATGAAAATGCTACACACAAGCCCTAATAAGAATATCCACCAGATCTTGGGGGGACGGGCTATGTTTCCCTCCTCTGTTGAGATACCTGCAACCATTAGTCATAAAAGAGATGAGGGAAGAAATGAGTAGTGGGTAATGAAACAGTGAGCTCCAGCAACACGTTGCATCTTGGTGCTGAAGTACAGGGCAGAGAAATGCAATGAAGCCTGGCTCGGCACAGCTCAATAGGTTGTGTGATCCCTGCTCTATCCTTTCACCATTTCAAACCAAATAAAAAAACAAACTACCCATTCCCACCCCAAGGACAAGAAGTGCTCTACACAACAACAGCTTGTACTTTCAAAGCGCTTTTCACCCCGTTAAACATTACAAAACTCTTTACAGAGATGGAGTGGCAGCCCATGCAGGGAGGGAAGGGAATAGATGACTGAAGGTACAGTCAAAGTGATACATTTTCCATTTCCTTTCCTCTTACCTATGGGAGATTCCAGTTCTCAAGTACTTCACCATGGTTGCATCAGCTTTGGTAAAGTTGGTTCTTTTGGTGACTTTGCCCGAACAGGCGTCAACCGTCACCAAGAAAAATCCCTGTGTCTGAAATGGCAGCGAGGTGCCATTCACCTAGGGTAAGATCACAGGTCATCATTCAGCTGGAGAAATGTGTTACAGACACACACACTGTGTATGAAGAGGCATTGGTCACACAGTGCTTCCTCTTACAATTTTTTAATCAGGTTAGCAAATCGTTCTATTCCAATTTCCTCTCTTTCCCCCACCCGAACCATGGTGAGGCGCCTGACATCCATTTGGCACTGTTTAACACAGTGATGTAATCACAAATAATGACATTAATATAGCACTTCACAGGTATGCTGTGCTGGAGTGTTTTTCTTGGCAAATTCAGGAGACTTTTTGCACCAGCAGAAGTCCTACAAAACAGGCATGAAGTGAACGACCAATTTTATCCGGGAGATTGCTGGCCAGGAGAGTGGGAGACTAATTTAAATTAATGTTATTTTTGTGAATATTGACGCAGCAATCTGTAATGTTCTTTATGAACCGGCGCAGGGGAGCTCAGTTTAACATCTCATCGAAAAAAGACCTCTGACAACGTAGAGTTCCTCTCAGTATCAGCCTAGACCCTGGGTGTCTCAGCTATGGTCCAGGGACTCAGCACAACCTGTAAGGGTCTCAATGGGGAGCACATATGCCTCCAATATGACAGCTCATAAAAGCTATAGAAGCCTTGCACCCTCCCCAACAAACAGTCAATAACTAGATTGTGTCCCGGGGAAGAATGTGGGCTGGTTTCACCCTCATTCAGATCGCCCCTGAAAAACAAACGTTAAAAGACAAGATTTGTAACATTGCCCCTCAACTCTCCAATTAAAATCTTTATATTTAAAGATTCCTGCCAATCAATGAAGAGTCCACTATGCGGGAGGGACACTACCACCTAGTGGTTGTTTAGTGTTTAATACTACAACGCTGAACGTCTCAAACTGCTTATCAAAAGCTAACGGCAACAATAGTTTTGACGCTGTGCAAACTTTTCACGCGCGTATGGTGTTGCACACAACTTGCATGAATCTCACATTCTGTTTGGTTAAGGGCGCTGCCGGGGTCAGCCTTCACTTACATAGATGCTGGATTTGTTCCCTTGCTGAATCTCATCCTCGCTGAGGGAATGGATCTGCACGTGGAGGTAGGTGTTGTGTGGATCACTTGTAAAAACCAGCTGCAGAATACAGATACAGACACACGCATCAGCTCGCGATCTGATTAAATACTGCAGCCATAGGCATCTATTACGTGTCAGTCACTGTTGCTAAGCAACGACGACATGTTGTGGACCTCACCATGTTCTCCAGATTGTAAGAGGGGAAGACCAGAGACTGAATAGAGAGCAACACAGTGTGGCTGTTTCAAGCAGGATTCCTCAACAACCGATCTGGAAGGATGCGACAGGAACTCGTTCTAACTCGATCCACTTTAGGAGAGAAAACAGCCCCAACTCCCCTCCAGCTCTCGGCATGAATTCCCGTTTCAAATCCCAGCGATCTTGATCTGAGCATGTGGCTATGAAATTAATTCTTTTGGAAATGGCTCAGCTGAACTACTGCAAGCCTTTAAGGCGTCAGCAGTACAACTTATATTTATACAGCACCTTCCACATCAGGAGGCTCTCGTAAAGCCTTTTACACAGCTGGCTGGGAACCCAAACTGGGGGGAGGGGCAAAAGATGACCAAAAGCGTAGAAGGGTAATCATCGGTGCAACATGCGCTGTCCTCACCAGAGCAATGTGAACCTTAACAAGACGCCCCCTCAGGAGATTGAAATCCAAGCCTGTTTCAGTATTTGCTCTTTTAAAATCTAATTCCTTTTGCCAGACCATTGTGTGAGGGAATGAAGCCTTTCCAACCAGACGTACACAGTAAGATATTTTCCTGGAGGTGTCATAAAAACCAGAGGTCACTGGGACAATGAGGCAGTACACTTCTGCTCTGCAAACTTATACAGAGGCTGTCAGTCAGTCTAAGGGCCAACAGTCGTATTTAATGGAAATGTCTTTTACCTTAGAAGCTCCGCAGTTTTCACATTGCTTGGAGATGGGTGCTGGCATTGGTATGATGGCTTTGGGAGGCTGGGAATATTTGGGATAGGCTCTGGACCTGCAGTTGCTCTGCTCTTGCGAGCGCATGGTAGCAGAAATCTTGATCCGCTCACAGCCTTGGACAGAGCAGTAGCTGTGACCCTCTCGAGCCTGCCGTGCTTGAAGAGTTAAGAATAGCAGCCTGGGAAAGAGAAGAGCAAGAGAGCAGCGTTCACCTGGGTATCATTTCAATGAAGAGGTTTGAGCTGCCAAAGTGGGGAAAGCTGAGGTTTTCCGATTTAATTCACCGAAATCACCAAAATCTAGTAGGTCAGAACAGGACGTCATAATAATAATAATACTTGCATTCAATATAGTGCCTTATCACTTCTCAAAGTGCTTCACAGGATATATTGTAAAGTGGACTGCATATTTTGTGAGCGAAACACAAGCAGCCAAATGACACAGCAGTGTCCCACAAACAGTCATGGATGGAGTGATCAATTTTTTAAAAAACATTTTTGGAGGGATTATTACCCCCAGCAAGCAATCCGCCAATCAACTAACAACCAGGTTCCTACCTACTGTTCGGCAAACAGAGCCGCGTGGAGTGAGGAAACTTCCCTAAGGTGTTGCCCTGCCCGGGAATTGAACCTGGATCCTCTCACTTGCGAAGCGAGCGCTCTAACCACAATGCTACAGGACTTCGTCATGCTGACTCACGGACATTGAAACCACTACTGTCGAGCACGATCTAATGAATCAGACCGACCTGTTACCAGAAGTAATCCCCTCTCAGCTTCCTTACTAAGGAGTCCAGTTAGAAATCCACCTAGGTTAGACCCTCCTCTCTTTTACAGACTCCATTAAATTGGTTGCAAAATGCCTTTTTGCCAAAGTGGCAAAAGATAAAGCACAGATGTGGCAAGGTTGACATGGTTGAAGTTACAGTTTGGGAAACGGGTGTTTTAAGAACTAATTCAGGACATTCAGATTATTGTAAATATTCATTGCACAATGACCCAGTCCAACTTTTCTACTTTTCTATCTCAATACCCCCCATATCTCCCGAGTTCAGGCACAGAATACTAGATTATTATGTTACCCGGGAAGTGAGTGTATGCACCCATGAAGAAAAATGGTCAGGTTAGAGGTTTTCTCTCCAGGGAAGAGATGATTGAGAAGGGACCAGATAGGTGTTTACAATTATGTATGGATTTGATGAGATGGACATAGACAGGCTGTTTCCACTTGTTAGTGAGTGGATAATCAGTAGCAGATCTAATAGCTTAGGTTTAAGAGGAATTTATTCTTTCCAAGAATGTGATAATGTGGAATTCATTGCTGGAAGCTGTGGTTGCAGCAAAAAAAAAACACTGATGCATTTAAGGGAAAACAATGCATACACAAGGGAGAAGGAAATTGAGGGAGGCAAGGGAGGGGGAAGGAATTGTTCGGAGCTGGTACTAAAACAACATTTAAGCACAAGAGACCACTGGTGCACAAGAAGCAAAGAGGTCAACTGTGCACATGAACAATCAACAGGATCCACACTGAACTGACTCAGTTATAAAGAAATGCAGTATAATAAGGCTTCACTGTAGTTTCAATTGCCTTTCCCTGTTAATGCCCCAGGCATACAGCTTATCAATCCTTTCCTGACCATCAGACTAAAATCATTTGCAGAAACTGCAGGATGTCGTGCTAAAATTGTGCAATTGTAATGACAGCGGAAATCGTTAGTAAGCGCCACGTTCGCTCAGTCATATTATATTTTGTTTTTTATCGCATAAGAGTACCCTTGCAAAAGAGAAAAGATAAGACACACCCGGTACTATTGTCAAAATAGTACTTTCTCTCCGACGGTTTCTCCTGGAGCTCTTTAAGCGTGGATACGGCTCCATAATCCTCCACACTGTGAGCGGAAGAGTTCTGCCTTTGGTAGATATCAGCCATAACCTGGAAGGTGCTGCTCCGGGGGTAACACAGACCAACCTGAATCCAATCCTTTCTGGGGTGGGGGGGGAAACAATGTAAATAGAGAGTGCATCTTGTGCATGCACATACATACTGGTGGCGTCAAATTTTGCCCCTGCTGGAAACACCAGCTTCAAACAATAGTGTGGCCTGGTATATGGAAACAGCAGATCAGGGAATTCAACCGGTCGATCTTATAATTCTATGATTTTACAGCTCACACAGAATGTAGACCTGTGGCCAATTCATACCCCTTGGCCAAATCATGGCTATAACCACGCTATCCAGAGAAATACATTCAGTCTCACTCCCCCCCACCTTCGCGTTTGACATTTTCCTTTTTCACATACATGTCCAAATCCCTTTTGAAAAAAAACTATTGCACTTTGTACTTCAACCACTTTTTTTGCTGCTGTGTCTATTTTCTTGGTTAGCTGGGTATCTGACACATGCAAAACACATCACCACCTACATTCTCTCCCTGGAGGGTCGCACCCTGCTTATCTAGTTGCAGAGAATATTTGGCCCAGATTGGCAAGAGCCCAGAATGTGCGTTGGGAGTACTGCTGGAGTTTAACCTGTTAAAACCACATAGCTTGCCATTGAAAGCAGTGCCTGGCAAGCTTTCCCACTGCTTGTCTAGCTAGGATCACCCTGTCCGATCGGACTTTGACTTTGGGGTTAACAGGAGCTGAGTGGAAAGAGTCCCCACCCCCAGTGTTCTTTGGAGCTATTTTTCACGGGGCTTTGGGAACATTACTGTGGGCACTTCAGCTGCCGTGTTCGCCTACAAATATCCAGTCACTCCACTTCACAGTAAATCCTGCGAAATGCTTTGGAGCGTCCTCCTGACATGAAAGGTGTTATACCAATAAAAATAATCCTTGCATTTGATATAGTGCTTTATCACGTTGTCGAGACGTCTCAAAGCGCTTCACAGGATATACTGTAAAGTGGGTTGACTGTGTGTTTTGTAGAGGGGAACGCAGCAACCCAATTGCGCACCCTAATGTCCCACAAACAGCCATGGAGCAAGTGAACCAATTTTATTTGGGGGATTGTTGGCCAAGACGCCAGGAGAAACTCCCTTCTCTTTTCAAATCGTGTATAGGATCTTTAACGTCCCCCTGAACAGGCAGATGCGTCCTCAGCTTAATGTCTCATCTGAAGGAGGGCACCTCTGACAAGCAACATACCCCCTAGCACCACATTGGAATGTCGGCTTAGACTATGTGAGTTCAAGTCCCGACGTGGGGCTTGAACCCACAACCTTCTAAAACGGAGGCGACATGTCTCAAAGCATTTCACAGGATTTTCTGTGGAGTGGGTTGACTGTGTATTCTGGGGACGAAACACAGTAGCCCAATCGCACGCAGTAATGTCCCACAAACAGCCATGGAACGAGTGACTAATATTACAATTGCTACCATTGAGCCAGGCTGACATTACTGCAAGGATTATTCTTATTATTTTGGGTGCTGACCTTTTCAGGTTGAGCTTTCCTTACTGCCCTCCACTGGAGCTATCCAAGGTTGGAGCTAAGACTACTTACTTATCGAAGTTGATAAGATATAGAAAGGTTTCCTCTGGCGCCCGGCCATTCCAGTGAATCGTGTAGCCTTTCTGCAGCATGACCACTGGTTGGTATTGCTGGAAGTCCGCTCGCTGGTTGATGCCCCGCAGGGTCATGGGATTGGCGGGATACTCGTCTCTTACAATGGTCATCGTTAGGTTCTGCGGACGCCATGTTTGCACATAAACCTACAACAACAAAATTACATTTGTAAAGCGCCTTTCACATCGGGACGACGTCCCAAGGCCTTGAACAATCAAGGATCAGGACCCGAGCGTGGGGGGCAGGGTTGGAGTGAGAGAGGGCAGAGGGGGTAGGAGAGCGGCTGAAGGTACGGTCAAAAATGAGGGTCTTGAGTCGTGCCTTGTAGGAGGCAAGAGAGGGAGCAAAGCAAAGGAATTGTGGGATGGAGTTCCAAAGGGTGGGGGCAGAGAGGCTGAAAGCCCGACCGCCAATGGAAGGACGGGTTGGGCAGGAGACCAGGAGCAGGCCGGTGCCTGCTGAGCGGAGGGAGCGGGCAGGTTGATAGGCTGTCAGCGGGTCAGACAGGTAGGAGGGGGCAATGCCATGGGTTGCCTTGAAAGTGAGGATGAGGATTTTGAATTCTATTCTCTGAGGGATGGGGAGCTAGTGGAGCCGGACAAGGGTGGAGTGATGGGGTTACGGAGCCTGGTGCAGGAGAGGACATGAACTGCAGAGTTGTGGATGATCTGCAGCTTATGGAGGGAAGAGTGAGGGAGGCCGACAAGGAGAGAGTTTCCGTAGTCGAACCTTGAGGTGACGAATACATGTATGAGTGTTTCAGCGGCCTGAGGGGACAACCTAGGACAACAATCACTGGTTATCACAGGAATCAGGTGGTGCAGTGGGAATACACACCGTCCTTTCACTCTCAGGCCTCAAGCGATGGCCCCAATCTCTTACTACGCCAGCAGTGATCTTTTCCTTACTACAGTAAGTAGCTACATGAGGTGTTACTAAGTGCCTACAAATCAACATTGCCTTTGACTTGCCGCTATGCTAGTTGGCAATCTGACGTAAAGGAGACCAGAGGAGAGGTACAGCATTTGAAATAAAACCCAACACTGGCACAGTTAAGGCTTGTTGTTATGTGGGACATAACTGGAAACAGCTTTCTTCTCCATGAATTTAAGAATTCCTCAAAAGAAGAGGGAATGCCACTACAGCTAGATATGCCCTGCTTATAAATTAGCAGCAATAACAAGTTGCAGATTGTTGGAAACCACATAAACACAAACAAATGAATGAATCCGAGTTCCATCTGCATCACATCAAGGCAAAGTGATATTTTGGCTGAGAAATTCCTCTCGTTGCTAAGTGCAGTCACTTGGGCAACAAGGGCAAATCTCCATAGCTATACATTGAAAAACACTCCTACTTATTGTCGTTGCTGTATCTAGCTCTGTACACAATTATCTGCGTCGGAAGCTGCCATCCTGTAATAAAACATTGCCGACTGAACTTCAAGCAATGATCAATCACCTCCACCTTCTTCAGAGACAAGTGACTGTGTCGGATATAGGCCACGGCCCTTCCACAGTGAGCCAACAATATACCAGATCCTGTCCTCAACTATCCTTTCTGGTACATCTCTTTCCAAGATAATAGTAACAATAATAATACTTGCATTTGATATAGCACCTTATCACGTCATTGAGACGTCTCAAAGGGCTTCACAGAATATACTGTAAAGTGAATTGACTGTATAGTTTGTGGGCAAAACACGGCAGCCAATTGCGTACAGCAGTGTCCCACAAACAGTCGTGGATTGAGTGAGCAAATTAGTATTTTATTGATTTATTTTGAAGAGATTATTACCTCCAGAGAGAAATCCACGAATCAAGTAACAACCAAGTTCCTATTTACTGCTCGGTAAACAGAGGCCTGTGGAGTAAGAAAACTTGTCTAACGTTTCGCCCTATCCAGGAATCAAACCCGGGTCATCTCGCTTGCGAGGCGAGTGCTCTAACCACTACTCTACAGGACTCCACAATGATCCTCTGAGTAAATAAGAAAGCACTCTACGACCTTCACCATGACCCTCTCTCTCTTTACCTGAGCGTACTTTCCGCTGCAAATGGACCCATTGTACGATGTTACTTCCTTGCAGTCCGGATGTCGGACCAGATAATTGTCCAACCTGCTCACGTACGTGTCGCGGTAGCCAGTGACCGAGCCGTCCACATCGTGAAACACGGCGTTCTTGTCGCCATCCAGATCACAGTCCTCAAACCACGGCCCGGCTTTGCAAAAGAAAACATTCAAGGAGACCTGTGGAACAAACACAAATCAAGTACCATCAGCGCCTAAACTCCCCCACCAACCCTATCACTGTCAGCACCAACCCACTCCCCTCCCTCTCCCACCCCCCAGACAAACTCTAGCAAGTTTCTGAATTGAAAATCTAGTTGCCTCCCAATGGTTAAAGCTCTTGGGATTCCCAGAGTCTGTGCTGCTGGAGTTGAAGCAGCTAAAACAGCAACTACTGTACTCACTTTCACTGCGTTGCCACACATCAAATGCTTATTGTAAAATTAATGCTCAACCTGGCCTGTGAACCCACATCCTCATGTCCCAGATAATAACATGCTATCTGAACTATTGACGGTAGTCAGCAGTAACCACTGACTGTTTAACCTGCAGACATGACCCTCGCTAATTTACGTATATAAGATGATATAATACTTTGATAATATATTGTCTATACATATATATAACAAATTAAAATTAATATAAGATAGTTTTATTATAAGCTATTTAGAGGATATATATAATGATTTTTAAATTTGAATATAAGATACACCTACGTTTATGTCAAATGCCACCAGTGAGAGACTGTTCTTGGGAGTCAGCTGCCAGGGGTTCTTCAGAGAGAATCCCACAGCGCTGGTGAATCTGTCCGGCATTTTCACAAAGTTTTGGAAGGTAGTCTTAGTGACGTGGACTGGTCCATCGTAAATCTGAAACCCTCGAATTGGGAATGTCCTGTTTAAATTCCCAAACCAAAAAGGATTAGTCTGGCTCTTCTAAAAAGTCAGTGGGAGGGAGGGAGAAGAGGAGGGAAAATAGTTGTGCGTAATAAATGCTGCTACCCATCTTTATATTAAGTAACTATTTCATATTCTACCTCCAAAGAGAATTTCACATTGGGGTTTGGCAGCAGTTCCTGGTACCTACTATCCACCTTATGAGGCTCAAACCTGCATTTGTCGGTTGTCAAATGACCAAATAGTGACTATGCTCCTTGGACAGTGATTGAGGGAAAGTGCAGTCTTGTTGATGTACTAAAAAAGATTTGCAGGACAAACTTGTTGTTCAGAGATAGCTAACTTAAAACAATTTTTAAACTAGAAACATGACAGTTGAGGTTCTATAAGTGGAGTCCTGTAGCTCAGTGGTTAGAGCACTCGCCTTACAAGCGAGACACCTGGGTTCAATTCCAGGCAGCGCAAAACCTTGGGTAAGTTTCCTTACCCCACACGCCTACTAATAATCCCTCCAAAACAAAACAATAATAAATCGGTCATTTCAATCCACGACTGTTTGTGGGACATTGCTGTGCGCAATTGGCTGCCGCGTTTCGCCCACAAATATACAGTCAATTCACTTTACAGCATATTCTGTGAAGCACTTTGAGACGTCTCGAAGACGTAAAAAGCGCTATATCAAATGCAAGGATTATTATTAATCTTTTGGGAGGGAGGAAAGAAACTATTTCCACTGGCAGGCGGGTCAGTAACCCAAGGACACCAATTTAAAATAATTGTTAAAAGAAACAAAGGAGAGGTGAGGAGAAATTTTTTCACACAGCGAGTTGTTCGGATCTGGAACGCATTGCCTGAAAGGGTGGCGGAAGCCGACTCAATGACAACTTTTAGGAGAGAAGTAGATAATTATTTGTGGAGGACAAGTTTGCGGAATCAAATCAACCCTCAGTGGTGGTCTCGGTTATCTGGTTCCTGAGCCAGATGGTTTTTCACAGTTCTCCAGGGCATTACGATTGGTAGACGAGCCAGTCTGACAGTGACTGAGATGGTCCAAGATAGTTTCAGTAGGTACACAGAGTCAGACACCTGATTGGAAACAATGTCCCAGAGGTGAAAGGAGAACATTCTAACCTACTGCTCCATGTGGAGCAGTGTATTAAGATAATACACGGTATATTAAGACGGAGAATCTTACTTGTTTCTCGGCAGTGTGCGACCTATCCCATCTACTCCCCCAGCTCCCCAGTATTTGTTTTGGCCACCAGGAGAGCCGCGGTTCTTGCTCTCCCCAACAAACAGGGATTCAGAGATTTCCTGGGTGGAGCCATCATCCTTCGGGAAGCTTCCGTCACTGATGGAGGAACAGATACTCATTAGAAATCAGCAGATTTTTATTTGTAAATGCTGTGAGTTCCCTCAAATGCTGCGAGTTCCCTCAAATCCCGCAGCATTTGAGGGAACAACTGGCCTCATATCCCCGGGATTAGGGAAGTGCAAAATCAACCAGAGTACCCACTGTTGATCAGTGTCCAGAGACCCCCACCCCCCCACCCCATTTCCCCAAAGATGTGAGCCAGGCGAGGATCGGACTGGACCGCACTCGTCTGTGATGGTGGTCAAATAAAATAGCCTATAAGCACTGTCAAAGCTCAAGTATTAACAACGGCCCTTGGGTGAGGTACCCACTAGAGGCTAAAATTAAGTTTTTAAAAAAATCAGGAAAAGAAGGGAAGAACATCCTGTTCCCCTTCTTCTGACAGTCAGACCCTGTTACACCAGGTCTGTACATAACGTTGCCATACCAGAGGCCTGCATTATATGAGAAATACAGTGCAATACGCTTCCGATGATTTGGTGATGTCAGTGGATACAGTATAATGTGACTCGCTATAACACGGAGTCTGATTTTGCAAAGCTCAAACTACCGAGTTATAACAACTTATGACTGTACAAATCAATGGCAGTGAAAGATTTAATTGTCCTGTAGCTTTAAAAAAAGTTACTGTATTAAAAATTGCCTCCATTCATTTGGATTAATAATGAAAGATAATAATCCTTAATAAATAACTCTACTCTTACCTAGCAAAGGTCAATCCAACTCCATTATCAGAAAATCTGAAAAATTAAATCAGAAACGCAGGTAAATATACATCATGGTTACACGGTACCATACACACACTATCATACTATAAAATGATAAACATGGTTATACACTATCATACTCCATGATGCACCCAGACAGGACACCACCTCAGTTTTGGTTTTCTCACTGAGGTATTTAGGATTCACAGAGAGAGCTTGAAATCAGTATTTCCGAAAGGTTTTCTTACCTCACCTCTGACTAATAATACTAATCCTTACTTTTGATCCAGTGCCTTTCAAGTCGGGAGAACATCCCAAAGCGATTCACAGGATTCACTGTAAAGTCTAGTGACTATATTCTGCAGATGAATGTAACAGCTAATTTGCACAGTGCAAACTTCCCACAAACATTCAAAAGAAAATCTAGCTCAAAGCAGGATTCCCCATGAGTCCTGGAGTGGGAGGGAGAACACTTAATAATAATTACCTGTGAAGCACATTGAGACGTGGTGATATATCACACAAATTATTATCATCACTATTTGATTGGCATCCCATGAACTTGCTGAACTCACTGAGGGTCAAACAGGAGTGAAGTGGGAGCTGACTGAACAGAGCAGGCTTCAGCTTCGTATCCCCTTGAAGCCAGTGTAAACTGAGCATCCACACACTCAGCAGGACGAGGGATTAAGAACAGGTCCAGATTTCAGGACTGCTGACCCATGCTCGCTGCCGCTTTATGAAAGGAACATTGTTGCTTTCAGGTTTTTTTTACAAAAAATACGAAAGTTTTGGCAGAGATTCCACAATCAAAACAATCCTAATCTATGGCCTCAGATGGCCATTCTTGGCACCTGCTGTCCAGATCAGGAGCATAACTACTGAGCAAAACCAAGGGATTTTATTGAAATCAGTGCAGTCTCAGAGTCTCACAACCTTCTCCTCTCATCAGCCACAGCCGAGAGGAGGCAGCACCTACCCAGAGTCCTGGAACACAATGTCACCTCCCCTCACCCAAGCTCCGTGATCGTTGTTTTTAAACGCGATGAGCCGGTCGATGAGAGCAGCCACTCGAGGCTTCTGGGGGTCAGCGTCCTGGTGTGGCCGAAACCTTAAAACAGCCACAAAAAGTGTACATTCAATTAGAGCTAAAGTAGGCCGAGAGGAGCCAGGAAACACGTCTTCACACAAGAGGCCCGTGAAGAAGATGTGGATCGCTCTGTCTCCAAGAGGCTGATTAAAATGGAGATATACAGGTACTTGTCAAGTAAGGGTGTTAAAGGGACATGGAGAAAAGGCTGAGAAATGGAATTTAAGAAAGACTACCATGAGCTAATATAATGGAGGACCAAGCTGGATGGCTGAATAGTCTCCTCCTGTTACTAAACAGTCAGATAACAATTACCCACCTATAAAGTGCCTTAGTAATGTTTTACAATATGCCTTATCATGTTGTTGAAACATCTCAAAGCATTTTACAGGATATTCTGTAAAGTGGAGTGACTGTATTATATAGACGAATGCAACAGCAGTATCCTACAATCCACCATGGAGTGAGTGACCAATTTTATTTTGGGAGATGGTTGACCAGGACACAGGGAAAAACTCCCTTTTTTTCATGGGATCTTTAACACTCACTTGAACTAACTAAACTAAATAAACCTTAGTTTAACGTCTCATCGGAAGGATGGCACCTCTGATATTCAGCACAGGCCCAGCACTGCATTGGAGTGTCAGCTTAGACTGTGAGTTCAAAGTCCTGACATGGGATTGTGACTCAGAAACGAGAATGCTACCACTGAGCCAAGCTGACACACAGATCGATGACTTCTCGGTACTCTCACCTGGCACTGTTATCTAAACACAGGTACTCCCTTGGGTCATCAGCGCTGGCGTTGGTGGTTTTCACTCCCTTGTCAATGAACAATCCTGCCTGCCAACCAGAACAAATCACATCACTATAACTCAACACAGGCACAATGTCTGTCCACAGCCTGTTGGTTCCTAAAGCATTATTATCGCACAGCATTCACACAATCGTTTACTGAAGTGTTTAGCAATTATACAAAAGGAAGCTTCCTTCATATATAGATCGGATCCAAAATCTGACCATTAATCTCAGAGCGTGAGAAGACAAGTGAAGCAAGAGGTGAAAGGGGAAGAGGAAACTCTGTACAAGAAGAGCATCAAGAATAAACAGTCTAGAGAAATATAACCAAATCCACAAGTGTCAAACAACATGATTAATCTTATGCAGAAGGATGCTTTGAGGTTCAGTGGCACAAATACACCAACCCATACAGTAATAAATTTCATAAAAAAGTAACTTTAAAATAATCCTTCCCATTTGTTACAGTCCCTGTATGTCAAATGCCTCATAGCTGGAGCCCTAATGGTTTTGCAGCTAGAGAGTGCAGGTTAGGTTATAAATGACTTACTTTGAAGTTAGAATGAACCCTGTTGTTGTAGAAGGTCCCCAGTGGAGTAAGCTCTGCTTTGTTTTCTGGGTACAGACCATGGGAGTCTCCGGTGGGAACCTTGTGGAACAGATACCAGATCCCGGTGTCCTGAACATTGCAAAGAACACAGGAATCATTACAGCTTGCACAACAAAAGAAAATTTTCAGTGTATAATCCTCCCCTCTGAATGCATTGGCCTTGAGCTCAGCTCTCACAGTCCACCAGCCACCAACACTCACAAGAAAGCTGACACGAGTAACAATAACAATCCTTGCATTTGATATAGTACCTTATCACATCTTTGAGACGTCTCAAAGAGCTTCACAGAATATACTGGAAAGTGAATTGACTGCATATTCTATTAATGTGGAACTGGGGGAAGGGGAGGACTGGGGAAGTCAAACACCTCTCAGAAGAGAAAATTGGTTTACAACAGAAAAACTAACGATGGGGTGAGATTTCCTGCTGCAACTCACTTACAAAGCAGCGAAAGTGCCTACAAAACCGACGGTAACTACACTTTACACTATATGCTGTAATGTGCTTTGAGACGTCCTCCAGGCAAAAAAGGCACCTGGACATATCACTTTCCCAAAGTGCCTGCTCTAATTATTACAAGCATTTAGCACAGCAGGTTCATTTTAATCAGACTCACCATTCCTATAATGCAATTAGCCTATTTTCTTATATAGAGCAGGCTTTAATCTTTTGACACAATTTAACTGGATGTTCTGAGGGTGGGATGAAACAACGGAATTCATCTCCGTCATCCTTCAGAGGAGACGTTAAACTGAGGTCCCATCTGCCTGTTCAGGCAAACACTAAAAGTCCCATGTCATCATTTGAAGAGACAGGAGTTTGTTCCAGGGTTATGGCCAACAATAAATTGCTTATTCACTTCAAGGCCATTTGTGGGACATTCACAGGTTGCAGTGTTTGCCTATAAAAAGTCACGATGCTTGACCATGATTACTTGCAAAGTACTTTAAATTATCTCAACATTATAAAGAGCTCTAAAAATGTGAATTCTTGCTCTACTATGGGAAGAACTGCTGCAGTAACACAGAAACTAGATGTTCATTAATAATTCCCTATTAGTAATAATCTTTGCATTTGTATAGCATTTATATAGGGTCACCTATATAATACCAGGATTTACCATGAAGCATAGTGATTATGGGTTTTATTGGCAAATGCGACTGTCCATTTGCATACAGCAATGTCCCACAAACAGCCATGGAATAAGTGAGCGATCCCCAAATTTTATTTGGGGGATTATTGGCCAAGACACTGGAGAAACTCCCTTCTTTTTTTGAATAATGCCATGGGATCTTTCAACATCCACCTGAACAGGCAGACTGGACCAGATGTTTTGCTGAGGTCCTAAGGGTGGCACCTCCAACAATGCAGAGCTCCAGAGAGAGTATCTACATTATTTGTTAGAGGGAGTTTGCCATCTCAAACCAGGGAAAATTCTCCGTGCCTGAAGCAGAAACATCACCTATTCATTTACCCTTCGGCTCCTGCATTAGTTTCACTAACTGAAAGATTTTATAAAATCACAACGCAAACTTTCACTTCACTCCTCCTTAATAATAATCCTTGCATTTGTAATAATAATAATCCTTGTGATTTATCACATCATTGAGACATTTCAAAGAGCTTCACAGAATATGCTGTAAATTTGACTGTACATTTTGTGGGTGAAACACGGCAACCAATTGCGCACAGCAGTATACCACAAACAGTCGTTGATTGAGTGACCAAATTATTTTTATTATTTTTTGTTTTGAAAGGTTTATTACCCAAGAAAACTGATTCACCAATCGACTAACAATTGAGTTCCTACTTACTGCTTGGTAAACTGATGTGTGGAGTAAGAAAACCTGCCTAAGGTTTTGCCCTGCCCGAGAATCGAACCCAGGTCCTCTCGCTTTGAGTGGTCCAACCTATACACTACAGGATTCCTCTCCTACGCCCCCTCCCACCCACACCCACCCAAATAAAAAGACACTTAGCAAAACTACCAAGTGTAAATCTAAACTTGCTATATGCAAACAAAATTGCCAACAGGGCAGCATGATGCTTGTGCAGGTAAGATCCCATCTACCCTTCAGGGCTGTGGGAATATCTACAGCCCCAAAGTCTGGTTGAACCATCATCAGTGCCTCGGATCACTGCCAAGCTGCCAGGCGTGGTTCAGGCTTGCGGTTGGCACTTACCTGTGAGCCAGCAGCTGCATTGTTAATAAGGTGATTGTTGGGGTTGGCAATCCAGAATGTGGAGACTGCCCTGAGGGAGGAGAAAGCCACAAGTCAGGAGCAGGCTCGCACCAAGTTCTCTTATTTGTCATGAATCATGAATCGTTGAATCCCACAGTGCAGAAGGAGGCCATTCAGCCCACCATGCCTGTGTCGGCTCTTTGAATGAGCTATCAAATTAGTCCCACTTCTCCACTCTTACCGCATAGCCTTGAAATTTTGTTCTTTTCAAGCACATATCCAAATCCCTTTTGAAAGTTATGGAATCTGAATTGGCTTTAAAAACTATGCTTTAAAAACTAATTGTAGCTTCTCGGCAACTCTTCAGCAAAAAAGTGTGAAATCCAAAAGCGTGATTCAATATTTTCTTAAATCAGCGCTCAGATAACCTTCAAAAAACATACTGGCCATCGGAGCCTGCAGTTTATAAAATTCACAACCAGGTTTCTCCTACCATACCACTGTATCCTGCTTCACATTACAGCACATCACAGTACACGCTCTGAGAGATCACAAAATAGCTGATCGAGTAAACTGACCACAAAGTCTTCAAGCTACTTTGCCACAGAGATATGTCAATCACTTCTCAAACGTGACAGTGGAACACACGTTCTGTGGGCATCATAAAAATCTAGGCCATTTAGGCTCTTTCCACATCAATGTGGGTAACATAGCAGATCATAGGTATAGTTTCTCGGTATAAAAGGTCTTTTCAGCATGCAGTAAAGGAGACATGATACCAGTGGGATATATAGATATATGAAATTTGTATAACATTTACTTGCAGTCAGCGGCTGGAACGGGAATGTACTTTCCGTAGACTTTATCGAGAATCTCGGTGCAGAAGAATTGATCCCTGTCAGTTGGCAGGATGGTGCCGGGTTTGGTGAGCAGGCCCAGGTTGTGGTAAAGAATATTCCTTTCCTCAATACCATCCTCCAGGAAAAAGCAGTGGCCCATTGTGTCATAACCAATCGTGTCCTTTATCTGTGCAAAACACATATAAAGACTAGTTTTCATGTGGCAACCGCAGTTTTGTCATTTCCCAACACCCCACCCCCACACATATACACACACATTTCCCCTCCCTATCCCCAAGCATGGGCTGATAGGCTCAGGGACTAACATAATGAGTTGAACAATCTCCTCCCGTGTCAGACTTCTACGGTACAATTGTTATTTTAAATATGATACAATTTGCATTTGCCTAATGCCTTTCATGTCAGGAGGACGTCTCAAAGCACTTCATAGCCTTCGATGGGCACCTGAGCACTGATGAGAGTGGGGAGGTTACAACTACAGATGGTTGAAGAAAGCCCAGTGGTGGGGATGGGCAAGACCATGGAGGGATTTGAAGATGTGAATTAGGATCTTGAACTCAATCTGCAGGGAGATGGGGAGCCAATGGAGCCAAGTGAGGATGGGAGTGATAGGCTGCGGAAAGGATGAGCAGACAGTGGGTGTAGTCAAGCTTGGACATAATAAATGCATGGATGAGCCTTGGAGGCCTGAGGGGAGTTAGTGGAGGAGGCGGGCAATGTTACAGAGGTGGGTCAGAGAACGGATGTGGGGTTTAAAGCACAGTCGGGAGTCTAACAAAACACCAAGGTTGTGCACTGGCATCACGAGGTGGAATATGCAGCCATGCAGGACGATGCTATCAATGCCTGGCTTTGACACAAGCTAAGCAGGAAAGCCTCCGTCTTGTCAACATTCAACTAAAGAAGGTTAGCTCTCATCCAGAACTTGATATTTAACAGGCAATTGGTCAGAACAGCAGTAGTCTGAGCGCTCTGAGATGCCACCCTGCGTGGAGGACTCTATACAAGTGCAAATTGTTGTTGTTGTAGTCCTGGGATTGAGAGTGAAGGCAGAGATAGAGTTTGATGTCAACTGTACACAAGCGGAAGTTAACCCCCTGTCTGCGGATGACATCGCCGAGCAGATAGATAGTAAAGAGGAGAGGACCGAGGATACAGCCCTGAGGAACGCCGCATGTGACTGTGCGAGTGCCAGAGGAGAAGCCAAGCACAGGGAGAGATCGTCAAGAACGAGGAGGCAGAGGGCCCTAGTCGCAAATCATATGACAACCAAGTGAGAGGTTGACAGTTTGGTTTTCTTTCTGCTTTAGGTTTAAATTTAGATAGTGACCTTGAAAGTAATTCTTGGCATCAAACAGATTTCCCGGAGCCTCGCAATTATGAAAGTTAATCCATTAATCTGCTCGAGAAAACCTGGAACGCTCAAACCTTGTAGAATTAAAGTAGACTCCACTTTTCGTACATCTACAATCCGCTTAGTGGAACTGAGAAGTTTATTGCTGTGTTTAAAAAGGGTCTGGATTCGACAAATATGTTCCTTCCCAATAAATCAAATAGGAAAGTCAGAAGAAACTTCTTTACTCAGAGAGTGGTGGGAATCTGGAACTTCAGGAGATTAACAGTGAGATTTGTTCGAAAGCCAGAGACAAATACATACAGGGCACAGCATTGAGAACACTGTCGGAGTGTGGGGGAGGGGGCAAGAGAACAGAGAGCTCCAGCAAGTCTGGGTATTTTGAGGCGAATAGCATAGATGTATTTAAGGGGAAGCTGGATAGGTACATGAGGGAGAAAGGAATAGAAGGTTATGCTTGAAGGTTTAGTTGAGGGAGAGCAGGAGGAGGCTCATGTGAAGCATAAACACCAGCACTGACCAGTTGGGCTGAATGGCTTGTATATTCTATGTAAAGAAAACTCCAGATTATCCAGATTATCCTCTTCCGCATTACACTCTGCGAGATTATCACCCCCATCCTCACCAGGCTCCACTGACTCCCCATCTCCCAGTGGATCAAGTTCAAGATCCTTATCCTAAACTTCAAATCCTTCCATGGTCTTGCCCCATCCGTGACCATCTTCCCCACCCCACCACAGCTCGGGTGCAAAGCATCTACTGTCCAGCACCTTGGGACGACCTCCCAACGAGAAAGCCACTGTATAAGCATAAATTTGTATTGTATATTACCAAACAGTTCAACCACTCTCCACAACCTCTGGCAGGGAACACTTACCAACAGGCCATTGGTGGTGTGCACCGCGACACATCTGGAGAAGCAGTGGTGGATGGCCAGGCTGTTCAGGTACGTGGGTGACCTGTAACCCCCCACTTCATCCACATCCCCACAGCGGTGAAAGTGCACGGGGTAACTGCCCAGCACCTGCTGACCCATGCGGGTTAACTCCACGTTGGAGACGTGGACAGACGTGAAATTCCTCAAAACCTTCAACAAACAAACAAAATAAATTACACGCATCTCTAATAATTATACTTGCATTTGATATACCTGCTTTCACACTGGGAGGATGTTTCAAAACACTTTGCCGGATTTACTATAAAGTGTAGCAACTGTTTTGTAAGTGATCCATCTAAATACACAGGTATGTTAAAAACAAATTTCAGGAGATTAACGGTGAGATTTGTTCTAAAGCCAGAGACAAATATACAACCTGGAATTCAGGGCACGGCATTGAGACCACTTCGGAGTGTAGGGAAGGGGGCAAGAGAAGAGGGGTCTCCAGCAAGTCTGGGTATTTTATATTTAATACTGAAGGGATCTACTAATTTATGCTGCATTTTTCATTTCATTCCCTTCTCTATCCCAAGTCTATAGGATTCGGTTTCTCTGTTTATCTCCAATGAGAGACAGATACTAAGAGACACGGAGAATAGATTAAAAAGACTTCCATTAGGCTCAGTGGGGCTGAATGGTCTACTTCTGTTCCACCTGCAGAATACAGTCACTAGACTTTACAGTAAGCCCTGTAAAGTGCTTTGAGAAATCCTCCTGATGTGAAAGGTGCTATATTAAATGTAAGGATTATTATTGAATTTCCTAAATAAATGAACTGGAGGTGGTAAACCTTTATATGGTAATCCTCACATTTGGTATAGCTCCTTTCACGTCAGGAGGATGTCTCAAATCACTTCATCGGACATACCGTAAACTGTAGTGACTGTGTGTTTTGTGGCAATTCAGTGAGAGTTGTTGGCTGTAGACAAACTTTCCTATGGGAATTTTGTAATGCATTCTACTAGTTTCTACTAAAAAACAGTGGAAATACAGGGTGACCAAAAAGTAATGATATCTATCCTATTATCTAAAAATGTATATATCATCATTTTCTTTAAGACTTATTAGACATCGTAATGGTATCATGATACCCTATACAACCTTAGACAGAAAATATTTTGGAGTCTTGGTAAAACCTTCAAGGTATTTTACTTCACAGGTTATATTCTAATTATGCTCGAGAGTCAGCAAGACGTACCTTTAGATGTCCACCGAAGGTGTCTTGTTTAAAGAACTGGCACTGGTTATTGCTGTAGCATGACCCCTCCATCTCCCCCTCGATGACAATGTTCCTGGTTAAAATTCCTACCTCCGCCCTCATATCCACCCCATTCATAATCTCTCCAATGTGAATAAATTTGGGTTGTTCTGCACAGGGAGGCAATAAAGAAGCGTTGATATTAAACAAGCGCAGACAGTAATTTTAGCTACAGCAGGTCACAAATAAACTACTGACCCCCACCCCCCACCCCCACTTGCTCCAGTACACGTCTGAATGTCAGTTGTGGATGGGGAAGGGGCATTGTTTTTTATGCTCCATCCCTTTATCACAGTTGGATAACTCGCCCAACACTCGATTACAAGGGTCACATGAGGAAAGGCCGCTGGTATAATAACAATAAGAATCCTTACAGTTGGTGTAGCACTTCTTATGTCAGGATACGGGATATACAGTAAAGTGCAGTGACTGTGTTGTGGATGAGTTTGGCAGCTAATTTGCACACAGCAATGTTCCACAAACCACCTCCAAAACACAGCACCCCCCAACACTGCACTGGAGAGTCAGCCTGGACTATATGAGTTCCAAGAACCTGACATAGGGCTTAAACCAACAATCTTTTGATTCAGAGGCAAGAGTGCCTCCAACTGAGCCAGGCTGACACACAAGCCAGGCTCCCGTACAACTGCACCCAACACAAGTCAGTGCCCTTGGGAGAGTAGGCAAGAAACAAGAGAAAAAAAAGCTTCAATGCCCAGGCTTCTAAATAATTCTATTATGAAGTTGTAATATTGAACAGTCTGTTATTCTGCACCTCCTGTGTCGGGAGCATGCTTTTTTAGCTTAAAATTGATACTGTCTGAAAACTTATGCCCCAATCTTTCAGACAAATAGTTACAGTAATGGATGGATTGTCCAAAATCACTTTGACCGACCTTTGACTTTGACCTGACGGCTGCTACACTCGGGACAGGCGAGGAGAGTGAATTCCTCGGCTTGGTACATGGAATAGTCAGTGCTGGCAATAACGATTTTGTCATCCTCTCTCCAGCCTTCCACCTCATCCAGCAGGTCCAGGACAATGCCGTCAGATACCTCCACCCGGAAATCCGAGATAGGCAAGCCTGGTCCAGGAGAGACACCGTTACTCATACAACAACACTGGTAACTGTTCTTCCTTCTAAAGTCATTTAGAAACTGCTCATATGCCAAGAGTTTAAATTAAATGAAAACTGGATAAGATAATCGAAAAAGACTGTAAAGTGGTGAGATACAAATCTGAAATAGCTCTATAACTACTGAGCTGCACAATGTTACGACAGTCAAACCCGTCTTCAGTAAGTATTCAGGGGGCTGGGGCAAAATAGCTTTTATATAAATTGGGCCTCTGAATAAGGGTTTGTTGCTACGTGTAGAATTTTTAAGTGTTTAGAAAAATACACTGCACATCCGAACCCATAAATTAAACAACTGCACCTAACACAAGTCAGTGCCATTGGAAGAGCAGGGGAAAAAATAAGAAAAAGAGAAAGTTATTGCAGCCCCAACCCTCCCAGCAGGGCATTGGAGTGTCAGCCTGGATTGAACTTAAAGAATCCAATGTGGGATTTGAACCCACAATCTTCTGAATCAGAGGGGAGAGTGCTACCAATTGAGCCAGGCTGACGGTTTGACAACCATTGCTTGTGTAATGCCCACGTGAAGAATATGCACACTGCAAAACTGGTGCAGTTTTAGCAAATGTCAGACACTTTGTGGGGAAGTAAAACATGCCCATAAAGTAGTCATCTTAGTCAAAAATGGAACATTGGGATCCATAAAATCGCAGCCCATGTTATTGTGAGATTTGACTCTCCAAATGTGCATTCACGTTAAAAAGGGAGTCAGCAGGACACTATGGCACCACTTTCTATTTTCTGTGCATGTGCAAAGCAGGAAGTTACAATCAGTGCGCAACCTGATGACCTGGAAGGCAGCTTTTGTTTATCGCAGGAAGCTAAAATCTCCGATTTGTGGATCATCAGGTCATCTCAAGGCACAATATAAATAAATGGCAAAATTATATCTTAACCTGGAATCCCAAAACCATTTATTCTGCTGAAGGGAAATTTCTACACAAATACCCCAGACTCTGTATCATTGTATCTGGGGGATTGTCGGTGGCCAGGACACCGGGAAAGAGAAACTCCCTTTTCTTTTCGTGTCATAGGATCTTTTAACATCCACCTGAACAGGCAGATGGAAACTCAGTTTAACATCAGAAAAATCTCTTTCAGTACCATTTTCCCATTCGCTGGAGGCAGACACGACAAACTTCACTCCATCCACAGTGAAAAACTCCTTGCGAGCGACTGCCTTCCCCCCGGTGTCGTGGTTCTCGTAGTTTCGAACTGCTTCATTACAGGACCGGTTACCACCGTGAATAACACTCACCAGGGCCCACGCTTGCCTGTCCGAGAAAATAAGACAAAAAGTAAATAATGGAATGACCTTTCCGCAGAAGGACCGTGCTTGTTAATGTTTAACATGATGAACATCAGCCGGGGCTGCTCGTGAGCTGTATGTCCAGTTTCATAGTTAAGACTCTCCAACTAACCACTTGGTGGCGTTGTTGTTCTCGAGCGTGAATTTCCATGTACAGTAGAACATTGCATACCCACAATTCACACACATACACAAGCCAACTACCCACACTGATGCAGATGTACATCCCCAGCAACAAGTAGCTAAGTTCCCAGGTTTATCAATTTGTCACGCAAGGCTGGAAATGCAAAGTAAGCATTCCATAGCTTTACAGCACAGAAGAAGGCCATTATTATTATTGTATTCAGATCATCGTGTCTGTCTTGGCTCTTTGAAAGAAGAATCCATTCAGTCCACTTACCTGCCTTTTCCCCCAATCCCCTGCAAATTATTTCATTTAAGATATCTTGCTAGATCCCACTCGAAAGTAATATGGATTGTATCTTTCTATTCTCAACCACCCCTCCTAGTAGGACATTCCACAAACCAAAACTCTCATTGCGTAAAACAAATCTTCCTATCTCCACCTTTGCTCCCTTACTAACCATGCCCTTGAATCACTGACTGACCAACCCTTTAAAATAATTTCTCACCATCGACTGCCAAAGCCCCATAGGTTTCCGCTCAACCTTCCCAGTTCCAGTGAAATCAGACCTTAATAGTTAGCCAACAAAATTAATTTTCGTCATTGAGTATTTCTTAACTTATGCCTTAAATATCTCCTCACCAGCATCTCCTCATCTTCGTCGGATCTGCCGTACAGCGTTATGGTGTCTGGGGATTTATCAATCAAGAAAACACACTGGCGATCGAACACAGACTTACCTAAGACTCATGCAAATGTTCGGGAGGCACTTCATTACGTCCCTGGGGGCCACAGGTTGGCCACCATTGTTCTAGTCATTGCTAATAGATCGAAACCACTCATCCCTGGTATTAACCTCATAAATCTCTCATCCTCTCAGTGTCCATGACATCTTTCCTAAAGTGAAGTTTCAAAACTATTCACAATACTCTAACTGCAGTACAACTAACGATTTGACCAGGTTAATGTTGTCAGCAATGTTAACGGTGTCCAGTTACTCCTTACCTGTAACTTAAAACTTGGACGTAATTACTTCCAAGAAGCTCCTGGATAAACTTCTTTGTTTGTGGATGGAGATTTTTAGCAGCGGAGTCTTTGACAGCAATAGCAATTATTCGGCCCGTTTCCTGGGATTTGAGGAAAGCCTCCAGTCTCTTGCTCTCACGAACCTCTTCGTAGGTGTCAAAATTCTCCTTCGCCAGCACTTGTCCCGTGTCCTGGTCGACCACATAGACATTTAACCCACGGTTGGGTGGTGTGTATAAGGAGGACCCGAATATTAAGCCAGACGCAGGCAGAGTCTTGGTCAACAGGGTCCAGGATAACTTCTTGGTGCCGTGCATTTCCAGGATGCCTCCCGCATCAACCCCCAGGAATTTCTTCCCAAACTCCGGCACCTCCTCATCTTCGTCAGATCTGCCGTACAGCGTGATGGTGGCTCGGGATTTATACAGGCATTTCTCTGCTCCAATGTGAAGCGCTCCCCCATCCTTCAGCAGAATGTAACGGGATTTTAAGGAAATATTTTTTGAGCCGTCCACACTGTCAGCAAAGACTAATGAACCTAAGAAGCCCAAAGAGAAAACAAACCTTCAGTTTTGCTCGGAAACCAAATAACAATTGACTTGAATAAACAGTTGAAATCTGGCAATTAGATAAATTAGCGGTTTCAGGGGGAGGAGCAGCAGCCCAGATTTTTAAAATATTTTTATTGTAAAGTGCAGTGACTGTGTATTGGTAGACGGCCACAATCTACACAACAATGTCTCATAAACAGCAATGGAGTGAATGACCAATTTTATTTGGGGGATTGTTTGCCAGGACACTGAGACAAACTCCATTCTCTTTTCGAATAGTGCCATGGGATCTTTAACATCACCTGAACAGACAGACTGGACCTCGGATTAACACCTTATCCAAAGGACAGCAGCTCTGACAATAAATTACTGCCTCAGCACTACACTGAAGCTAAGATTATGGGCTCAAATCCCAGTCTGGGGCTTGAACCCACAACTTTCTAATTCAGAGGTGAGAGTGCTACCAGCTACAAGCCAGGCTGATACCCAACACTGCACTACAAAGCTGAATGAAAATTTCACCCAAGAATCTTTGATGGAGACAACATCACGAACAAGAAAGATTAATCAAAAGAGCCGTGCGCATAATGTTATTTCCAGCTCTACCTCCATCCTGAATGGTGATGCAATGAACGGTCGCCGATGAATCCAGTCGGAAGTGCTGCCCTTTCCTGATGACGACCCGTCTCTGTGCATTGTGACCCGGGTTCCAGTTTCTAAGTGCAAAGTTTTGATCAGGACAGTTTTCTGAAATATCACAGGAAGATCAAGCATATGTTAGGTATTATCCATTGAAAATTATTCCAACTACCACCTGCTATATTCCAAGAAAAGCAGAGGCCAAAAAAAAACTCTGGTCTTAGCCTGTAAGGCAACTTTCTCTTAGAAAGTTTAAGACAATTCTTCAATTCCGTCCTACATTTGGAAGCCAGATTTTTTCTTCAGGAACAGTATAAAAATTTGGACTGCTCTCAAAAATTTCCAATATTCTACAGCTGGATGGTCCAACGAAGCATGCGGGTAGAGGATGATTTCATCCGTCCCAAGACCATTTCCAACTTCCACTCGCTTCCTCCATCCCCGGTGAACTGTCCTCTTAGGGCAGCGGCAGGAGCGGGTGGTTGTTTGGGAGGACGCAGCGCAGAGAGTGGAAATAATGCCGGCTGTTGCTGCAGCCTGTCAGGAAGTCCCCCTCGAGATAAGTGGGGGAAACGGGTCTCTTGACCAACTTTCAAACTGCCGCACTTTGTAATGTAACCAATCACCTGGGCCAATAGAAAAGTGTAGAAATACTTGCCAAAAATTGCAGGGAAATTTGTGCTTGGGTTGGGGGAAGTTGATTGGTGCTATTGAGGTACGTTTTACTGCCAATCTACATAAGCGCTCTGGGATTCTACCCCATGTGAAGGTTGCTATATAAATGCAAGTTGTTCTTGTGGTTTTTCACTTTACTGATAAAAACTAAACATGAGGAAATAACACATGTTGGATTGTTGTCAAAAAAAAATTAATTTCTTCTTCAACAGCCCAAAGAGCCTGGAGATCCGCCAAAACATACACTCAGGAGCAGTATCCTGACTGCGGAGCAACAGGAGCTCACCGCCTCCTGCCTCTCAAGGCTCAGCACTGGACACAGACCCAGAGAGGGGCACCCGCACACTCACAGACCCAGAGAGACACACACACACAGAGACACACACACAGACTCAGAGAGACACACACACACACACAGAGACCCAGAGAGAGACATACACACACACTCACACACAGACCTAGAGAGAGACACATACTCACACACACACAGACCCAGAGAGAGACACACACACACACACAGACCCAGAGAGAGACACACACACACACAGACCCAGAGAGAGACACACACACACAGACCCAGAGAGAGACACACACACACACATACACTCAGAGAGACACACACACACACATACACACTCACAAAGAGAGAGATACACACATGCACAGATACATAGAGACACACTCACAGACAGAGACACACACTCACAGACACAACATACACACACACACACACACTCACAGAGACATGCATTTTTACAGAGACACAAACACACTCATAGACACAAAGAAACATACACACACATAGAGACACATACACATTCACAGACACTCAGAAACACACACACATATATAGAAGACATACACAGACATATATGTACAGAGACATTCACAAACAGACACATACAGAGAGAGACACACAGATACACTCAAACAGAGACACCCACAAACAGACACAACAGACTGTTACCAGGAATGAGCGACTTTAGTTATGTGGAGTTACTAGAGAAGCTGGGATTGTTCTCCTTAGAGCAGAGACGGTTAAGGGGAAATTTAATAGAGGTGTTCACAATTATGAGGGGTTTTGATATAGTAGATAGGCAGAAACTGTTTCCACTGGCCAGTGGGTCAGTAACCAGGGCACACAGATTTAACATAATTGGCAATGAAACCAGAGGGGAGATGAGAAGACATTTTTTTACAGAGAGTTGTTACGGTCTGGAATGTACTGCCTGAAAGGGCAATGGAAACAGATTAAATAACAAGTTCAAAAGGGAATTAGATAGGTACTTGAAGAGGAAGAATTTGCAAGGGTATGGGGAAAGAGCAGGGGATTGGGACTGATTGGGTAGCTCTTCCAAACAGCCGGCACAGGCACGATGGGCCAAATGAACTCCTTCTATGCTGTAATATTCTAACTACAGAGTAGAGTGAAACACTCACATAGAGACAAACACATAGAGACACAGACACACTCACACAAACTCACAAAGACACTCACAAACACACAAAGAGAGAGAAAGAGACACAGATTATTTCTTGTTAACAAACGTCTTATTAAGGCTTGCGTAGAGCTCAGAGCAGATCTGTTGCTGAATGTCATATAAAGAAGCTGGGTCAGTTCAGGGAACACGTGAACACGTGCTTGCTAATTTTGTGGCTACTGTGGTCAGCCTGCTTTACAGATCAAACAAGGGATTGGGTTTCTCTGACAATTTGATCATTTCTCTCTTATTGGCACTTAGGATTCCTTGCTTAACTGGCGGCCTGGCTCAGTTGATAGCATTCTTGTCTTTGAGCCAAAAAGACGTGCGTTTGAGCCCCTCTTTGGAACTCTGAACTCACAGTACATTGTCAGAGGTGTGAGGTGTGGTCCTGTGAATGAAATATTAAGTCAGCTCCCGTCTGCCTGTTCAGGAGGATGTTATAGCACAAAATGAAAAGAGACGGGAGTTTGCCCGGTGTCCTGGCCAAAAATCCCCGAAAGTAAAATTGGGTCACTCACTTCATAGATGTTTGTGGGACATTGTTATGCACAAATTGTCTGCCATCTTCCCCTACAAAAGATAGTGACTTCACAGTGTGTCCTGAGAAGCATTTTGAGACACCCTCTGGACATGAAAGGTGCTGTGTCAAATGCAAAGTCTCTCATTATTTTCCCATTTACTGGGGTAAGGCTCGACAGATATCCTCTGGTACCAGTGTGGCCATTACACGTGTGTGACCCTCGAGCGAATGTGTTGCGGGGTGGGGTGGGGGGGGGGGGGATGCAGATACTCACAGGCAACATTTGATCATATCTATCTCCAATATTGACTATCCCCGGTGATGCGGAGGGAGGGGGAGGAGGGGGAAGGTAATTGGGGTCTCCTTGGAGCTGAACTGGCTTGAACGTAACATGTTTGGCAACAGCACATCAGATTTTCCTTTGGCCAGCGGAACACCCACATAGAGACACACACGATCAGATACTCACCATCTCTTTCGTGCCCAGAATGTGTGGCCAATGTGCAGATTATGATGAGGATGAGTACAGTCAGAAAGCTACCAACACATATGAAGCTATTCCTGTGTATCTTCCTCCTCGTGTCTTCAGACTCAGAATGCTGCTGATTTCCTCTGAACACGAAGATGGCTGGATTATCCGGTTTGGAATTGGACCACTCTGCGTGAGATGCCATTGTCATCCTGGGAGGTGGCGCAGGTCTGACAGGTACAACTTTCCCAGGGACATAACTGGATGAATGACTCCGGGTCCCGTTCGAAGCCTGAATAAAAGCAGGGGGGCGACCAGGTGCATTCCTGACTGGCTGCATATTACCAGTAAACTGCAGAAGAATACAAAAATAGGAATGAGAAAACCAACAGCTTGCATTTACATGTGTAGTATTTATATTGAGAACGAGCACTTAAATGAAAAAGATAATGGCAAACAACAACAACCACTTGCATTTATATAGCAGTCTTTACTCAGGGTAGTTCCTCGGAATGCTTCACAGTGGTGGAGCCGGGGAGGGGGACGTGACCATAAGCGTGGTCAAAGAGGAAGATCTTCAGGTGGGATCTGAAGATGGGGCAGGAGGGGGCAAGGCGGAGGGATTGAGGAAGAGAGTTCCAAATTTCGGGCCAAAGTGGCTGAAAGCACGGCCACCGACACTAGAAAGGAAGGGATGAGGAACAAGCAGGAGGCTGGAGCCAGCCAAGTGGAGGTGCCAGAAAGTGAAGTGGGGAGTAAACACATCAGAGAGGTAATGAGAATCAAATAAGAATCAAAACCCACCCTCCCCTTTTCCTCTCAAGGCATTAATACAGTGGCAAATGGCACAATAGTTAGGAATTCTAATCCTGAATTTACTAGCTTTACAGGCTTCCAATGCTGGATTATACACCACTGGTTCATTTTATAACCCCCACTGTGGGTCATTGTACAGACCTCTTCACCACAGGGCTTCCTCCATGCCAGAGGCAGCAGGAACAATGCACTCTTTGTATCGCTCCTCCAACCAACCTCACCCACTAATGCGATTTACAAAAGGGATGTTTCCTTTAAAAATAAGCAAGTCTCTTTGCCGATGGGTCAAACTATTGGGAGGGGTGCAGTTAGATGCAAATCTTCATTGTGTCCTGGCTCTGATATACATGAGTGTTCGACTACTCACTGAATAGTTACCACTGGGTAGTTACAGCTACACACCCATCGGGTGCTTTCCAACTATTACAGTAACATCAGAACAATGGCTTACAGAGCACTGCATGGTCCAGGCGAGGCCCACAGTCAGAGTTCTGAAGATACCCCTCTGGCAAAAGTGATCTCCCATCAGCAAGGCTGTTCAGTCACAAAAGGGAATTCAAGAGGCAGCGTGACAATATGATTCATTAGTGCAAAACAAGTCAGTGCAGATGTTTTCACCAGACTCCTTCACTAAAAAGACTGTAAATGTTTGGCGGAGGATGCCGTCGTGGCACATTAGCTGCACTGGGGTCCGCAAAGCTGTGCATTACCTAGATATTGCACACAAGATGTTAGGAACAACTGCAACAGCCTTTCAGCGGAGCTTGTGACCGGGGGGTGGGGAGGGGGGAGCATCAATGATGGAAAGTTACATTCAGTGATGAGCTGAATGGCCTCCTTCTCTGCTGTAGTGGTCTATGATTCTACCTATAGTAGCTCATGTACACACAAGAAAGCTCCCGCCCGAGTGGCTTTTAAAAAGCTTTAGCGCTCGACAACTGCAGGTCATTTATAAGTTGAGCTCAAGTATACAGAAGACATCACATGACAAGTCAGCGTCTATGGTCCCACAATATCACATGAAGACCAAGGGTTCCAGCTGTCTGAATAAATGAAAACCCTCCCCAAACAAATGTTACTTAAAACTGCAAACAGCCACAGGCTCTAAAACACACCCATTCCTAATAGGATTTATCCTATTAAGCCTCCTCCAGTACCAACTCCAGGTCCACCGATGTTCTATCAGCTTGTCTGGCAGACATCAGGGCCTGGATGAGTGCAAACTTCCTGCAGCTAAACGTGGACAAGATGGAACCCATACTCCTTGACTCCCGTCAATGTCTTCACTCCTGCGGATCTGAACTCCTCAACCTCCCTGGGCTCTCCCTCAGACTCACCGAACCAGTACGAAATCTAGGCGACTGGTTCGACCACCAGCTGTCCTCCCTCCATCCAGTCCCTGACCAGGACCGCTTTCTTCCACCTCCACCACATTGCCCACCTCCAACCGTACCTTACCCCAAATGCAGCCAAAACACTCATGCATGCGTTTGTGTCAGCTCCCGCCTGGATTACTCCAATGCACTCCTCACCGGTCTCCCCAGCTCCACTGTTCAAAGGATCCAGCTCATTCAGAACTCTGCCACCCGTATACTGACCCAGACCAAACTCCATACCCACATCTCACCAGTTCTGGCCAGGCTCCACTGGCTCCCCATCACTGAACAGATCGACTTCAAGATCCTCACACTCGTGTTCAAATCCCTACCTCTCTGACCTCCTCACTCCCCAATCCACCACCCACTGCCTTCCGTTCGTCTGGTACCGTCCTCCTGCTCGTCCTTCGCACCCTCCGCCCCACCATCGGAGGTCGCGCTTTCAGACACTACGCCCCGAAACTCTGGAACACTCTCCCTCAATCCCTCCACCTTACCCCCTCTCTTTTTTTCAAGTCCTGCCTGAAAACCTCCCCCCACCAGCTCGGAGTCAGGCTCCGCCACCTTAAGCTGTTAAGCCCTCTGAGCTTCTACCCTGAATGGAGGGTGCTATTTAAGTGCAAGTTATTGTCGTTGTTGTTAATAGTGATTCCTGAGTTACAATTACAAGTATGGATTTCAACACGAGTGTGAGGATCTTGAAGTCGATTCCATTATAACACACCCCATTATAGTGCGTTAATTCCCATTAAAGAATCCCACTAGCAATTATCGCATTTCAGACCCTAATTTCTTCAAAGGTTCCAGCAAAGTTAATTCAAACAGCTTCAAAACTTAAATAGCTCTCTATCATTTCAAGGCATCCTGGGCTATTCAGAATCTCAACCTACAGAGATCAAATATCTCTTCCTCTCACGCCATCCCCCCACCCCTCCACACACACAAAGTACGACCACAGAGTTCCACACAGAGACAGAGGAGGTTTGAAAGCACCTAGTGTACGTAGCTGATCAAATATTTGCAAGAATACTCGTAGCAGGAAGCCCCACTTCAGAAGAATTGCCAGCTAAACATCAAAAGGCATTTATATGGTAGCAGCTCAGCTCAGCTCACTTCTGGCTCCCGGGTGGTCCTCCTTTGAACAATCAGAAGTTATTGTCAGCTGTGAAGTTGCTGTGTTCCCACCCATGGAATCCAGCAGTTTGATAATTATAACCTTTTCTGCTTTTGGTTTTCTGGAATAATAAGAGATTCTGCATAAAACTCGTTCAGATTCTGCTGCCACCCACAAATCATCGAAGCACCGCGGCAGTAAACAAATCAACAAATATACTCTCTGGCTCGATTTAATAACTCTCGTCATACTGTTCCTTCATACCTTCTGTAAGGCACATTGGCTCCAGTGCAGATTCCAGGGCTTGCTGCTAGTACTGCACAAGATCCTGACACACAGGAAACAAATGTTGGAATCGGAACATTAGAGAGTCAGCGTTGCTGGTCTCAGGCCTGGAAAAAGGCAGAAACTTTAAAGGAATTAAGAGTCTAAAATGCGTCAAGTAAAATCCACCAGGAAAACACCTCTGGAACATTGCACTAACACAACAGCCAGATTACAGCGTCAGCCAAAACTAGATAAAGGAGTAAAAGTCTTGCTCCCTTTTAACTTTTGAAGCTGTTTGAATTAACTTTGCTGAAACTTTGAAGAAATTAGGGTCTAAAATACGGCAAGCAAAATCCACCAGCTCTGATACTAACAGTGGAGACAAAATGCAGCAACAACCAAAGTTAAAGGGAGCAGTAGCCCTGCTCCAGGAATCCTGATATTGTCCTGGAACCAGCCAGGCTCATCTCTCCACCCACTCGGAGAAGCCAGCACCGCCGTTTGCACATTGCTGACCTTTTACGGACCTGCTTCAAACAGCTGGGCAGCCAGAAATCTGGTCACTATTGCTGGAGGGAAATTCTACCTGCATCTAAATTTACTCTATTTATTTATATAGCATTGTAAGAATGCCCAGAAGTTGCCAAATTCTTAGATACAGTTTTAATTTTGAAGACTGTTTTCTGTAAGTTTCTTTTGAAGAACGGCAGAAACTTTTAACTTTAAGACTGAATTCAACAATTTGCCAAATTCTGGACGCTTCAAAACACTAAGAAAATAGAACTAGTCTAGACTGACTCTAGATCCAGGTGGAATTTCTTCCCCCTGTAGATGCAGCTTACAAATAAAGCATTCTATTTAATCAGGGCAAAGGTCAGTCTTGGGGAAGGGGGGAGGTGGAAATGAGAGAGATTGCAACTCAGTATAAACCCTTTGAACTCACATACTACACCAAGTTGGGGTGATCGACAAGAAAAATGTAATGACTGCTTATTTCATGACAACCATCTTTATACTACCTCAGTCTTCTGTTAGAGTGCAAACAATTAAACCATAAAAGGTGTTTCGCTCTTTGAATTACAGCTTGAGAACTAAAGGGCTCTGAATAAGACATGTTACCCAGTTTGTAATTACAAGGTTGTAGTCTGATATGTAACCACAGCAACACTCAAACCTGTTTTTTCAAAAAAAACAACTTGAAACTTTGATGAGAGAAGATACTGTATCTTCTACCTTTCCTGTCCTAACAATGGCAAATCAGACCAGGATAGCTTTCTTTAGGCGTTGGCCACCCTGTAGTGCTTTGCCCAAGTGGTCAATCTTCACCCACGGGTCCAGACAGTTTAGCCTTGTCAGACTCCTTGGTTGCTTGTCGATCCCCATCTCCCAGTGGATCCACTTCAAGATCCTCACCCTCATTGACAAACACCCGGGCACCCTCGCTCCTCTCTACCTCTGGGATGTTATCCTCGCCACCACCGCTCAGCAAACTTGAGTCTGCAGCACGAATACCAGCCCTTCCACCCAACACCACCTGCATCTACGCCTTCAGCCACGATGCCTCCACCCTCTGGAACTCCCTCCCTCAATCTATAAGACTATAATCCGGGACAGAATAAATCTTCACTTAGAAGAATATGGTTAATGAGGCACAGCCGCACGGATTTGTTAAAGGTAAATCTTGGCTAACAAATCTAACAGAATTTTTCAATCAGATAACGGAGAGGGTGGATGAAGGTAGTGCAGTTGATGTAGTTTATATGGACTTTCAAAAGGCATTTGACAAAGTGCCACATAAAAGACTTGTAAGAAAAATAGAAGCCCATGGTATAAAAGGGACAGTGGCAGCATGGATCCAGAACTGGCTGTGAGACAGAAAGCAGAGAGTAGTAGTGAACGACTGCTTTTCTGACTGGAGGTAAGTTTACAGTGGCGTCCCCCAGGGATCGGTATCAGGACAATTGCTCTTCTTAATACATATAAATGATCTGGACTTGGGTATAGCAAGTACCATTTCCAAGTTTGCGGATGACACAAAGTTAGGTAGGATAGTAAACAATGAGAAGGATAGGAGCCAACTGCAGGAAGACATAGACAGAATGGTAAAATGGGCAGACACATGGCAGATGAATTTCAATGTGGAGAAATGCGAGGTGATGCATTTTGGAAGAAAGAATGAGAGGTAATATAGGCGAGATAATACAATCTTAAAGGTTGAAGGAACAGAGAGACCTGGGGGGTTCAGGTAAATGAATCCTTGAAGGTGGCAGGACAGGTAGATAAAGCCGTAAAAAGGGCATATGGGATACTAGGCTTTATAAATAGGGGTATAGAGTACAAGAGTCAGGAGGTTATGATTAACTTATATAAAACACTGGTTAGGCCTCAGTTAGAATACTGCGCCCAGTTCTGGGCACCACACTATAGGAAGGATGTTAAGGCATTGGAAAGGGTGCAGAGGAGATTACAAGGATGGTACCAGGAATGAGGACCTTGATTATGAGGAAAGGTTAGAGAGGCGGGGATTATTCTCATTGGAGCAGAGAAGGTTACGAGGAGACCTAATAGAGGGCTTCAAAATCATGAGGGGATTTGATAAGTTAGAAAGGGAAAAAAAATTTCCACTGGTGGGTGTGTCGGTGACTCGAGGTCACAGATTCAAAATAGTATCTAAAAGAAGCAGAGGGGAGGTGAGAAGAANTTTTTTCACGCAGCGAGTTGTTCGAATCTGTAACGCATTGCCTGAAAGGGTGGTCGAGGCCAATTCGATAACTACTTCTAAAAACGCGGTGGATGGGTATTTGAGGAGGACGGGTTTACAGGGTTATGGGGACAGGGCTGGGGAGTGGGATTGACATTACATTGCTCTTTTCAAAGAGCCGGCACAGACACAATGGGTCGAATGGCCTCTTTTTGTGCTATACGATTCTATGATTCTACGAATCCCTTCATCTCACTTTCAAAAAACAACCCCAAAAAATTAGTTATTCGACCACGGTAAGATGACAATATGTCCCTGATTCCCAGGGACAATCCTTGGATGAGGTATTATGTCCCTGGCCAGACTTGTCCCATCTCGAGTTCAGCAGCAAATTGAGGAGGAACAATACAATTCTAAAACAAATACACTCATCAGAGAAATACACCCATTAATCCAACAAGTTTCCCCAGTAACTGCCAGCATCAACAATTGCGGTGAGTTAAATTTTTTTAATAAGTGTCCGCAAAATATGGTTTGCAAAATATGGTCAATGGCACATGAAATATGGCCTAAGGTCACCTCCCACTTCATAATAATCAAAAGCAAAAACTTCCAGTTGATTTTGCCTCTCTCTAACCCAGGGACACATAGGTAAATAAGGTTTCTTCCTGAAAGGAATGATTTAAGGCAGCACTGTATCTTCTTCAACAATTGACTTTATTTTGCACATGATTGAATTTGATTTTAAAGGAACATCCGTAGCATAATTTTTCCCCAAATAGCACATTTCCTCGGGTGATTTTTGATACTCCTCCAAACTGCCGAGATGATTAGCCAACTCAAGAGCAAAGCATGGATCAGCTCCACAACAGGTGCTGTGTTACCCACTGCACTAACAGAGAGAACACCTTTGTATAAAGCGCAGGGAGCACATCAGGCCACTTCTTTTGGACAACGTCAGACTTTTTTTTATTTGAAACTGATGAGTAAAGATACAGGTCATTAAAGGTGGCAGCACAGAGAGATAAAGCTGTTTAAAGGAAAAAGGGTTTTACCTTGGTTTTATGGAAGCGTAGAATACAAAAGCAGGGGAGTAACATTTAACTGTGCAAGACCTTAGTTAGGCCCTAGTTGAGTATTTTGTACAGTTTGGGTTACATAGTTATAAGGAGGATGTGCAAGCAATAGAAAAGGTGAAGTGCAGAATTTAAGATAATGCCAGGGATGAGAAATTTCAATTATAAAGAGAAATCTGAGAAGTTGTTTTTTTAAGAGCTGAGAAGGTAACAGATGACCTAATAGGTTTCCAAGATTTTTAAGGATTACAACAGGCCAAATAATAATAATTACTCAACAAATTTAAAAACAACTTGCATTGTATAGATTTATAAAGGTGTAGGGTCTCCGAGCTCTTAATAGAGGCATAGCCTGACTCTGAGCCAAGGAGAAGGGGGAAATGACTGCAGACACGGTCGAAGAGGAAGGTCTTCAGGTGTCATCTGAAGACCAGCAAAGCGACTGAGGTAGAGGGATTGAGGAAGAGAGTTCTAAAGTCTTGGGATGTAGTGGCTGACACTATGGCTGCTGATGGTGGAGGGGATGAGGGACGTGGAGGAGGCCGGAGCCCACTGAGCGAAGGCAGCAGATGGTGGAATGGGGAATAATAATAAAATAATTATCCTTGCATTTGATATAGCGCTTTTCACATCTTCAAGACGTCTCAAAGCGCTTCACAGAATATACTGTAAAGTGAATTGAATGTATATTTGTGGGAAAAACGCAGCGAATATAAGCAGAATATTTAAATATAAGCAAACATAAACTCGGAATAAGCAGGTCGGAGAGGTAGGGAAGTGCCAGGCCATAAAGGGATTTGGGCACATGTGAGGATCTTGCAATCGATCAATTGTGCAACAATAATCACAAAAATAATTAAAGGGGAGGTTAAAATAAACCTCTTAGAAAAAAAAGAGACTGGACATGGTGGGCAGAATGTGATGTTCTCTGCCAATTGTTATGGAGGCAGAGTCAATACATTCTTTAAAATACAATTACATAAATAATTGAAAAATAATATTAAATGGTATGGGGATCAAGCCGGAGAGAATTAAACTGGCTCTGAGATGCAACCCACATGAAGGGCACAATATAAATGCAAGTTATTGTTTTAAACTAAGTGGCTGGTATGGATAAAATTAATCAATAGACTCAATGGCCCGAATGAACTGTGCTGCTTCGAATATTCTGTAATTCTATAGTGACTAAAATCCCAAACTTACTGATAATGACATAACAATGATAATAAAAATAGTAACAATGATCCTTGCATTTGATAGAGCACCTTTAACGTCAAGAAGACCTCTCGAAGTGCTTTGCAGGATTTACAGTAAAGGGTGTAGCGACCCTGTGTTTTGTAGGAAAACGCAGCAGTCAGTTTGCACACAGACATGTCCCAAAAAACAATGAAGTAAATGACCCATTTTACCTTCGGGGTTGTTGGCCGGGACACCGGGAGAAACTCCCTTCTCTTTTCAAATAGTGCCATAGGATCTTTAAAGTCCACCTGAACGGGCACAGAACTGGTTTAACATCTCATCTGAAGGATGGTGTTTCTTGTTTTCGTGTTTCTTAGGTCCGAAACACTGACTGTCCAGCACGTTGGGACGTCCTCCTGACGTGAAAGGCGCTATACAAACGTAATTTTGTTGTTGTTGTTGTTGCCTCCAATGATGCAGTGCTTACTCTCCCCTCTCATCTGATATCATCCCTTCAGGACACTGGCCCTACCATCCCCCACCCCCAGCCCCCCCAAACCCCATCACTGCATCAAGCAGCTGTTTAAATCAGTCCAGTGTCCTGGTCTCTACCACCCAGATTGTAATGCAACTTTGCTTGCAAACTCTTTCATACAAAAGGCTCGATAAGCTGACAACCGGATTCAACCCACACAAAACTATTTCCTTCCTTCTGAGAAGAAGGAAGCAACTTCTTTCAAGGCATCAATACAGTTGAATTCTTATCAGTGTGTCAAGTCCTGGCTATTATATTGAAGGTTACGAGGGGGGAGGATGGGCACCATTTAATCCTCAAAAAGACAGGAATGTGAGAGCCCAGATCTGCTTCAACAGACACAAATTCCCCCAATGTTAAAAAAATGCTGATTCCTATTTTTCAAGTTCCACAGCGCCATCTGAGAAAAAGAGGTAAACTTTTCCCTCTCAACCTCTCACCACACTTACTCTCTTTCTCTCTCCTCTGTGTGTGTGAGTGTGTGTCTCGTGTGTGTCTCCCAGAGGGCTAAATGATGTACCAGCCCAGCTTCCACACAGAGAGAGGGAGGGGATTCCTCTGGGAGGGATGGAGAGGGAGAGAGACAGAGAGACGAGAGAGAAAGAGAGAGAGAGCGAGAGCTACATTGTCTCCTCGGTCAATCCTTTCTCTCCCACCCACCCACTCCCAAAAACACACACACTCATCAAACACAGCGCTCACTCACACACAGCAATCTCATACACAGCGCCTGTCCTTACCTTCTTCCAAAACGTGCTGGATTACAAAAAGAGAAGAGAAAACGGAGGGAGAGGAGGGGTGGGAGGGAGGAAGAGAAAGAGCGAGAGAAAGAAAGCGAGAGAGAGTTAACCAGACGTTGTGTGCTGAGCAGTGCCAGTCATAATGGTTTCGGGATTGCAGCTAATAGCAATCTGCAGGTCTGTGTTCCTCAGGCATCTTTCCCTGGGCTTTAAATCACTCACTCACTGTGTGTGTATCTGTGCATGCGAGAGACACAGAGCTAGGAGAGCAGCGGCCGCTACATGGGAACTTGCGCTTAAAGCGCTATCTTGCCAACCTCGCCTTGCTTTCCCTTCTCTTGCCTTTCCCACAAATCCAGACTTTCTTTCTTTCTCTCTCTCTCTCTCTCTCTCCCCAGCTTCTTGCCTGTGCAACCTCAGCTCTGTCCACCCCCCCAACACAGCAGCCGATTGCAAAAGGAAGTGAACAATGCTCGGATCGGATTCCTACAGCCACAGGAATAAGGAGTGGCTTCACATCCTCGTCATATGCTGCTGCTTTAAGAAAGTGTAAATCTCTCTCTCGCTCTTTCTCCACCTCCCACTTTAAAAGAAGAAGTGTGGCATTGACGACCCCTAATGGGCATAAAAAGGAAAAACAAGCCGTTGACTCAATAATACTGTGAAAATAATCCTTTCATTTGATACAGTGCCTAAAATGTTGACATTTCTCACAGGGCTCACTGGCAATTGTTTTCAAGAGTAGTGACTGTGTATGTGTAGGAGTACGCGGGAAGTTAATTTGCGCACAGCAATGTCTCGCAAGCGGTTCTAAAGGGAATGACCAACAATCTCTTCCTCTTCATTTTTCTCGAGTCGATTCTAGTTAATATTCACAATTTATTATCTATTTTGGTGTGAGTCTGGCTCAGTTAGTAGCACTCTCGCCTGTGAGTCAGAAGGTTGTGGGTTCAAGCCCCAAGTCGGGACTTTGCGCTCACAATGTAGGCTGACAGAAATGCTGTCCTTCAGATAGATATTAAACCGAGGTCCCGTCTGCCTGTTCAGATGCAGTGACATTATGTGAAAAGAGAAGAGAGTTTCTCTCAGGCCAACAATCCCCCAGAAAAGTTTGGTGATTCATTCATGCTGGCACGGGCACGATGGGCCAAATGGCCTCTTTTGGTGCTGTATAATTCTATGATTCTATGATTTCAAGGCTGTTTGTCTGACATGCTGCGGAAATTGGCTGCCACATTCACCTGCAATGTACACAGTCTATAAATCTTATGAGGAGCTTTAACATGTCCTCCCAACATGAAAGATACTATATCAAATAGGTTTCTTATTATTATTAGCTAAAGTGTAAATTGATTAATTGTTGTCCTCCTGCCTTAAACTTTACTTTACCAAGCCAGTCAGGAACATCGGTGTCTTGTTTGACCCTCAACTATCCTTTCTACCCCACATCCGTGCCATGACCCGCTCTGCCTTCCCCAACTCCGCAACATCGCCCGGCTCCGCCACTGCCTCACACCGCAGGCCGCCGAAACCCTCATACATGCATTCATAACATCCAGGCTTGCCTATGCAAGTTCCTTGCTTGTCGGCCTCCCCAACTCCTCCCTCCATAGGCTGCACATCATCTAGAACTCTGCAGCCCGTGTCCTCTCCCGCACCAGGCTCCGGGACCCCATTAACCCCGTCCTCACCCGACTCCACTGGCTTCCCATCTCACAGAGGATACAATTCAAGATCCTGGTTCTCACATTCAAAGCCCTCCATGGCCTTGCTCCCCACTACCTCTGCGACCTCATAACCTCCTACCATCCTGCCTGCTCCAGCCTGCTTCACTTCCCCCACCTCGCCCGCCCCCACGATTGGCAAACAAGCCTTCAGTCATTCTGCCCCTGTCCTCTGGAACTGCATCCCGCTGTCCCTCTGCCTCACCCTTCCCTTGCCTCCTTCAAGACCCATCTCAAGACCTTCTTCTTCAACTAGGCACCCTCTTTCCCCCTGCCCTTCACCCTCCCCGATCCTGACCCCCCCAGCTCAGGTCCGAAACACTGATTGTCCAGTGCCTTGGAAATTCCTCCCGACGTGAAAGGCGCTATACAAATGTGGTTCTATTCTTGTTGTTTACAGAAAAGAACTGGTACCAAAAAACAGTTTTAATGTACCATCGATCTCTGAATCAATCTGTGAGAGATGCCTGTAACAGCCAGTGTTTATTAGTCAGGTTTATTGCTCCCTTAGAGGGCAATTGTCAGGAAATGTTTTAAAGAGACAATTAGACCCCATTGTTTTCATGGCAAGTGTTAGCAAACTGAACGTTTTGTTTCTGTCTTTGCCAAGTTGGCACAATATGATGCCATAGATTGCCATAAAATGCATTGCTGCACTGGTGACTGCCTCATTTGCACATGACACAACTGTCATCAAAATGACATGTCCTTCCTTGCTGCTTACAAAGCCAGTGGGACCTAAATTGCAGGAGTTGCGAAAAGGATGTTAGTGAATCCTGGATAATAAATTGTGCATTTTTGATGTGACACATTTCACCCATAAATACAGTCACTCCACTTTACAATATATTCTGTGAAGCTCTCTGAACTGTCCCAGTGACAAGACGCTACATCAAATGCAAGGATTATTATTATTATCACACCACCGAAATGTCCCAGAAACACTTTATTGGATTTTAACTGTAATGTGCATTGAGTGTGTATTTTTAGGCCAGCCCATGCAGTTGGATGTGTTGCAGCTAATTCTCTGCAAATCAGCTCAGTTTGAAAAATTAATTTTAAAATCATTTTGAATTTTTTTTGAATTTTTAAATTTTGTGATTGAGCATTTGTGCAGAGTTCCAGAGGTGGAAATGACACTGTGGTAAAAAAAAATATGACTTTTGGAGGGTGGAAATGACACCAGGGTAAAATTCCACCCAGGTCTAGATTTCCTCTGTTAATCTAATATTTCTGAGCGTCTCCGGAATTTGACAAATTGATGAATTCAGTCTTAGCTTTGAAATCAGTTATCTGTGGTTCTTAAAAGAAACTTAAGAGAGAAGGGCTCGAAAATGAAGGCTGCATTTAGGAATTTGTCACGTTCTGGATGCTCTTAAGATTCTACATTAATGGAGTAAATCTAGACCCAGTGGAATTTCTCCCCACATATTAATGGCCTGGGAGCACTCGCAGGTTGGAGATACACGATCCAGTCACCACTCTGCTCATTAAGCCTGTGACCTGAGGTTGAACAAGGGGGATTCCTGACTGCTCAGTAGTGCTTTGTTGATTTATAACCGCACTAAAATGTCTAGGCTCAACAGAGGGGACACTGGGTTCGAACCAATGGATAACTCTAGTGGGGGAGCTAACCTTGTACAGGGCCAAATGACTTCTGTACTAAATCAAAATTCATGCTTCTATAAAATGTAAAATAATCTTCTCAAGTCCCAGGCTGCTTTCTATCTTTCTGACAGAGTCAATATATATATATATATACATGTTAATATATATTATAATAATCCTTGCATATAAAATTTGATTGAAAAACGAGTTATATAGTTCACTCAAGTTTCAAACCAGATCTGGTTGTAATAAGCACATTCATTTTATTCTACTGATTTAAAACACAGATGTCTAGTTAGACTAACTTGGCTATCCAAAATGTTTTCTAAACCTGGTTGAAAAGGCATCGTTTGCAGTACAGTATCTGCAAAGCAAAGGGTTATGTGTTGCCCAGAAATTTTGCTGTTAAAACTAATTCGAGTGACCTTGGGAGTTGTGTATGTGTTATACAGTAATTCCAAGAGCCTTATCTTTGGGTGGGCTTTATTGTTGCAAAAATATTTTGCTTCCAGCTGGCTGGAAATAAGGTTTTTTTTCCATTTGAGAAATGCATTTAGTGTAATAATACTGTATCTTTGCTTAGGTTTTGACTGGCCTCTTATTTTGAAAGAGTTATGGGCAGCAAAGAAGAACAGAACAGATGTCTGTCTCAGTCTGTGCGTTTCTCCACTGAAACCGAATCCGACCAAATCAACTTGACCAGGTCTGGTTTGAAACTTGAGTGAACTATACAACTGTAGTTTTTCAATCAAATTTTATATGCAAGGATTATTATAATATATATTAACATGTATATATATATATTGACTGTCACTATAGCAGTGAAGGCTGAGAGCTGCAGTCAGACAAACACAAGCAGCAGAACAATAATGAAGCGAAGGACATGGGAGAGGATGAGAAAAACTTCCTGGAGACAAATTATTTCGCTCTTACAAGCACAAATGTCTCCATTTGTCGATAACTGCAGGGAGGAGGGGAGATCTGCAGGAGTGATCTTACCTGAAGCCCGAGAAGAGCAGAGGACAGGTCTATTGCAGCTCTCTCTCTCTTGTGTGCCAGGGAGCAAAGCACAGCACAGCAATCGTGGGGAGGCTTGAGGCTGGATTTTCATTCCACCTTCACCCCTATTCCCACCCTCTGGATCCTCAGTGCAAACTATTCAACCTTGTGTGCCTGCTAACGCATTCCACCTTCTCCAGCAGTTCTGAATTGTTTTTTTTTTGGAAACCTAAGAGAGTTACAGTATTTGCAAACAAAAACCCTAAGCTTGCAAATCAGGAAGTGTAGCTGTGGGTTGGAAACTTTCTGTGAGTGCAGTGTGGTGGAGCTGCTGGTTGCACACTTACTTGCCTTGTGACTTGCCTTTTGCCTTGTTCTCCCGATCAGCAAGCAGATTGCCTTTCCTCGCAGGCTTTCTGCAGTGCTCTGGGTGTGTGGCAGTCTCTCTCTTCTGAAAGGCAGGGGAGGGGAGAGCAATGCCCCAGGGGAGGAAGGGAGTTACACTCACTACTGTTCTCTCCAGCCCCACTTCTGTCCCCAAAAGGATCTGGAACAGCAGATATCATCTGCCTGATGGGACACATCCTCAGGATGGCGTCTTGCCTTTTTTCTGGTTTTCTTGCCAAACCCATTTGCAAAGAGATCACACAGTAAACACGTCCCGAATTCATGTCAACATGAAATACAAACACAATATAAATCAATCATCCTGCAATGACTGTGCAGCCCCTTGGGATTTCCGCAGCCCTGCATCAAAAAGCACAGCCTCGCACTTTCCATTACAAAGTCAGCCTCATCGCAGGACCTTTCTTTCACCTGACTTGTCTTTCAACTGGTTTCCCCCCCCCACATAATCCACTTTACATTATTAATGCAGTTTTGAAGCGCTTTGAGACATCTCAATGACATAATTAGGCACTATATCAAATGCAAGGATTACTATTACATTATTATTATTATTATTCCGGGAGCTTTCGTTTCTCCCACAAAATACAGTCAATCCACTTTACAGTATGTTCTGTGAAGCGTTTCAGATGTCTCATCAACGTGATAAGTTGGTATATTAAATGCAAGGATTATTATTATTATTTATATCTTTTACACCCTTTTTGGTGCACTCTGTCCACACCAGAGATTCTGCTCCCACAGGTGGTGGACA